CAAATCTCTTGGGAAGATAAGCAGACAAATGTCAGCATGCTTGAAGAAGCAAAGACCACCAGCACTGAAGCGATGGTCCTCCACCATCAACTCCGCTGGACTGGCCACGTTGTCTGGATGCGCAACCACTGTCTCCCAAAGCAGCTGCTCTACTCCAAACTCAAGAACTGAAAATAGAATGTGGGCAGGAAAAGAGATTTACAGAAGGACTCAAAGCCAACCTTATAAACTCTGGCATAGTCACAGAGAATTGGGAAGCCCTGGCCCTTGAGCACTCCAGCTGGAGGTCAGCTGTGACCAGCAGTGCTGTAGAATGTGAAGAGGCACAAATGGAGGGTGAAAGAGAGAAATGTGCCAAGAGGAAGGTTTTTCAAGCCAACCCCAACTGGGACCGCCTTCCACCTGGAAACCAATGCCCTCACTGCAGGAGAAAATGCAGGTCAAGAACAGGGTTCCACAGTCACCTATGGACCCACCGCCAGCACACCGATCTTGGAAGACAATCCTACTCGGACAACAAGGGATCGCCTAAGTAAGTAAGTACATGTTCACTATGGGGAGAACTTATGAATAGAACCGTACTTTGTAGTTACTGAAGAGGGACTCAGGCATGGAGCAGGCTCAAGTAAACCGTGTTATTAGGCACGAGGCAGTGGTTCTCAACCTTCCTAATGCCGCGACCCCATGTTGTGGTGACCCCCAACCACAAAATTATTTTCACTGCTGCTTCATAACTGTAATTTTGCTTCTGTTATGAATCATAACGTAAATATCTGATATAGAATCATAGAATCAAAGAGTTGGAAGAGACCTCATGGGCCATCCAGTCCAACCCCCTGCCAAGAAGCAGGAATATTGCATTCAAATCACCCCTGACAGATGGCCATCCAGCCTCTGTTTAAAAGCTTCCAAAGAAGGAGCCTCCACCACACTCCGGGGCAGAGAGTTCCACTGCTGAATGGCTCTCACAGTCAGGAAGTTCTTCCTCATGTTCAGATGGAACCTCCTCTCTTGTAGTATGCAGGATATATCTTCATTCACTGGACCAAATTTGGCACAAATACCCCATATGCCCAAATTGAAATACTGGTGGGGTTGGAGGGTGAGATTGATTTTGAGTTTTGGAGTTGTAGTTCACCTACATCCAGAGAGCACTGTGGACAATGATGGATCTTGACCAAACTTGGCACAAATACCCAATATGCCCAAATGTGAACACTGGTGGAGTTTGGGGAAAACAAACTTTGGTCCAGTGAACGAAAATACATCCAGCATATCAGATATTTACATTACGATTCATAACAGTAGCAAAATTACAGTTATGAAGTCAAAATGAAAATAAGTTTATGGTTGGGGGTCACCACAACATGAGGAACTGTATCAAGGGGTTGCGTCATTAGGAAGGTTGAGAACCACTGCTCTGGGATGACCCCAATCTGTGAGCCTTTAGGGTGCATCTACACAGTACAATGAATGCAGTTTGGCACCACTTTAACTTCCATGTCTCAGTGCTATGGAATCCTGGAAGTTGTAGCTTGCTGATGCACCAGCACCATTTGGCAGAGAATGGACTCTGAATCATGGTAGGTTAAGTAGTGTCAAACTACATTCATTCTACAGTGTAGAAGCACCCTTAGATGTCTACTCTGTGGTCTATGGCTAGCAATGCCATCCACTGGCCCAGTCAACTTATGTATGAGGACTGAGGCCATATCTTTGCCTCGGGCAGCTGAAGGCCTTTTCGGCAAAATCAGATCAGTTGCTTTGAGTCTCCTAATCTCCAAAAACACACTGAAACTTTGAGAAAGAGGTTTAGAACAACCGAAAAATGTCACCCCGACTGCCACCTGGTGGCATAACTCTGAGGTACCATCAATTATTTCATAGTTAAATTATATATACATTGGGTTGTTGTAGGTTTTTTTCGGGCTATATGGCCATGTTCTAGAGGCGTTTTCTCCTGACATTTCGCCTGCATCCATGGCAAGCATCCTTAGAGGTAGTGAGGTCTGTTGGAACTAGGAATATTGGGTTGATATATCTGTGGAATGACCAGGGTGGGACAAAGGACTCTTGTCTGCTGCAGCTAGGTGTGAATGTTTCAACTGACCACCTTGATTAGCATTGGATTGCCTGGCAGTGCCTGGAGCAATCTTTTGTTGAGAGGTGATTAGATGTCCTTGTTTGTTTCCTCTCTGTTGTTGTGCTTGAAGTTTACTAATCAAACTGGAGCAGGAAAAGATTGACTGTGATGACTTCTTCGAATCTCTCCATACGGAGACCCAAAGCATCTCACAATCAAAACATTACAATTTAAGATATACAAATATAATAAGAATAACACTATTTTTAACCCACACTCTCTCCGCAAGGGAACTCAGGGTGGCTTCCAAAGTAAAAAAATAGCAAACATTCAATGCCAGTATCTACAACAATAAAACAGTATATCATTATATATTATTAGTAGAAAGGACCGGGCTGTGGCACAGCTTGTTAGTGGCCAACTGCATTAAATCACTACTGACTGAGAGGTCATGAGTTCGAAGCCAGCCCAGATCGGAGTAAGCTCCTGACCATTAATAGTCTAGCTTGCTGTCGACCAATAATAATAATAATAATAATAATAATAATTTTTGTCGTGTCAGGAGCGACTTGAGAAACTGCAAGTCACTTCTGGTGTGAGAGAATTGGCCGTCTGCAAGGACATTGCCCAGGGTACACCAGGATGTTTTGATGTTTTATCATCTTTGTGGGAGGCTTTTCTCATGTCCCGCATGAGGAGCTGGAGCTGATAGAGGGAGGTCATCCGCCTCTCCCCGAATTCGAACCTGCAACCTGTCGGTCTTTAGTCTTGCTGGCACAAGGGTTTAACCCACAGCACCACCATTATTATTATTATTATTATTATTATTATTATTATTATTATTATAAATAACAACACTTTATTTGTGCCCCACTACCATCTCCCCAAGGGACTCAGTGCGGCTTACATGAGGCCGAGCCCAAATACAACAATACAGGCAATAAACAACAATACAAGCAATTAAAAATAAAAAACATAGACAATAAGAATATACAACATTATCAGTTAGACAACACACAAATAAAAACAGTGGGAAGGCAAAATGTACAGTTAAAATTGGATTTTTTTTTATCGTGTCAGTGCAACTAGTCGATTATATTACATTTCTAACAGAACAAAGCAAAAAAACCCCAGAAAAATACAAAATTTGTGAGTTTGTTAGTTGATTAAATGTCCTTTGACCAGTATCTGGCCACTTGGAGTGCCTCTGGTGTTGCTGCAAGAAGGTCCTCCATTGTGCATGTGGCTGGGCTCAGGTTGCATTGCAGCAGGTGGTCAGTGGTTTGCTCTTCTCCACACTCGCATGTCGAGGATTCCACTTTGTAGCCCCATTTCTGAAGGTTGGCTCTGCATCTCGTGGTGCCAGAGCGCAGTCTGTTCAGCGCCTTCCAAGTCGCCCAGTCTTCTGTGTGCCCAGGGGGGAGTCTCTCATTTGGTATCAGCCATTGGTTGAGGTGCTGGGTTTGAGCCTGCCACTTTTGGACTCTCGCTTGCTGAGATGTTCCAGCGAGTGTCTCTGTAGATCTTAGAAAACTATTTCTTGATTTAAGTCGTTGACGTGCTGGCTGATACCCAAACAAGGGATGAGCTGGAGATGTCTCTGCCTTGGTCCTTTCACTATTGGCTGCTACTTCCCGGCGATGTCAGGTGGTGCAATACCGGCTGGCAGTGTAATTTCTCCAGTGGTGTAGGGCGCAGACACCCTGTGATAATGCGGCATGTCTCATTAAGAGCCACATCCACTGTTTTAGTGTGGTGAGATGTGTTCCACACTGGGCATGCATACTTAGCAGCAGAGTAGCATAGCGCAAGGGCAGATGTCTTCACTGTATCTGGTTGTGATCCCCAGGTTGTGCCAGTCAGCTTTCGTATGATATTGTTTCTAGCACCCACTTTTTGCTTGATGTTCAGGCAGTGCTTCTTGATGTTCAGGCAGTGCGGTCCAGAGGGACTCCCAGGTATTTGGGTGTGTTGCAATGCTCCAGTGGGATTCCTTCCCAGGTGATCTTCAGAGCTCGGGATGCTTCTCTGTTCTTGAGATGAAAGGCACATGTCTGTGTTTTGGATGGGTTGGGGATCAGCTGGTTTTCCCTGTAATAGGCAGTAAGAGCACCTAGAGCTTCGGAGAGCTTCTGTTCAACCATCTCAAAGCTCCCTGCTTGAGCGGTGATGGCACGATCATCAGCATAGATGAAACTCTCTGTCCCTTCTGGCAGTGGCTGGTCATTTGTGTAGATGTTGAACATGGATGGAGCGAAGCACGCTCCCCTGAGGCAGGCCGTTCTTCTGTTTCCGCCATCTGCTTCTCTGGCCCTGGAACTCAACAAAAAAGCTCCTGTTTTGTAGCAGGTTTCCTATGAGGCGGGTGAGGTGGTAGTCCTTTGTGATATTATACATTTTTCTCAGGAGGAGGCGGTGGTTCACAGTGTCATAGGCTGCTGACAAGTCTATGAAGACAGCTCCTGTGATCTGCTGCCTTTCAAAGCCATCTTCTATGTGCTGAGTCAGGTTCAGCACTTGCGATGTGCAGCTTTTGCCTTTCCTGAAGCCAGCTTGCTGTGGGATCAGACAGGGGTCTATATTTTCCATAATTCTGTGCAAAAGAAGTCTCTCCAGAACTTTGTAGACCACTGATGAAACCCTTATAATAGGTGGCGGGAAGGAGGCGGGGCTTAATCGAGGGGGGGCGTGGCCAGTTTTTTTTCTCATAGACTCAATGGGAAGAGACCCCCAAAGGCCACTTAGTCCAACCCAATGCTATGGCAGGAGCACTCAATCCAAGCCCTCCTGCCAGATGGCCACGCGGCTTTTGCTGGCTGCCGCCTAGAATGGCCTGGCTCTTTGAGGAGGCGGGGCTGGGGCTGCTTGATAAAAGAGGGGGAGGGAAGCGGGCGGGGCTCGGACGCAGGACCTTCGTGGGAGGAGTGGCAGGCAGAGCTTATGCAGGCAGAGGAAGCCATGAAGGAGACATGCGGGTGAGGAGGGAGGTGGGGTTCCCTCTCTCTTTGGGATGGCATCTACACTGTAGAATTAACCCAGTTGGACCTCACTTTTAATTGCTATGGAATCCTTTGGCTTTGGTTTGGGGAGGCTCCAAACTCCAGCTCCCAGGGCAGCATAGCATTGAGCCATGGCAGTGCAAAGTGGGGTCTCCTGAACTGCATTCCTTCTACAGTCTTGGTTGAGCTTTTGCAACACAGTTTGCAATCAATGCAACGTAACTTCGAAGGACTATCAAGAGCTTTGGTTCCTTCAGCTGCAGGAGAAAGTCCTCCCTCTTTCACCAGCTGAGCCTGCTTCCAGATGCACACACCTGTACCTGCATAGGAAAATAAATAAGAATAAATAATACAAGAAAACTAATGTAGTATATATACTATTAATAATGTTGCAATATAGTATAAACTACAAGAAAGGAGATTCCATCTGAACATGAGGAAGAACTTCCTGACTGTAGAGAGCCGTTCAGCAGTGGAACTCTCTGCCCCAGAGTGTGGTGGAAGCTCCTTCTTTGGAGGTTTTTAAACAGAGGCTGGATGGCCATCTGTCAGGGGTGCTTTGAATGCAATATTCCTGCTTCTTGGCAAGGGGTTGGTCTGGATGGCTCATGAGGTCTCTTCCAACTCTGTGATTCTGTGTTTGTGTGTATATATGTGTGGTTTTGTGCATGCGTTGTATTTTTTTTTGTTTGGGGGCTTTTTAAGTCTCTTCCACTGTGTTTTTCAGTGTTTTTATGAGTGATGGCCACTTGTTGGCCTGGTAGGTGTGTTGTGTCCAAATTTGGTGTCAATTCATCCAGTGTTTTTTGAGTTATGTTAATCCCACAAACGAACATTACATTTTTATTTATATAGATTAGCTGTCCTCTGCCACACATTGCTGTGGCCCAGTCTATGTATATGTGTTTTGTGTGTGTATATGTGTATATATGTGTGTTTGTGCATGCATTGTAATGTATTTTTTGTTTTTGGGCTTTTTAAGTCTCTTCCACTGTGTTTTTCAGTGTTCTTATGAGTGATGGTCACTCGTTGACCTGGTAGGTGTATTGTATCCAAATTTGGTGTCAATTCATCCAGTGGTTTTTGAGTTATGTTAATCCCACAAACGAACATTACATTTTTATTTATATAAAGATTGGCTTTCTGAATAAGGGATATGCAGCCAGTTTAGGAAAAGTCGGTTTTCTAGTGTTAAGGCCTTGTTTAGTTTTGTTTTGGATTTCAGATATTCTCATTGCTTTTTCCAAAACAGATTGTGTGTTTGGGAACAGTACAGTTCGGGTGTTTTCCCCATAACTGTCCACTTATCTTCCTTTTAGTGACACAGGGCTGCTTTGCTACTATCCTTTCTGCAATGAATTGTAATTTAGGATATATTTAGAGCAGGCATGGGCAAACTTGGGCCCTCCAGGTGTTTTGGACTTCAACTTCCACAATTCCTAACAGCCTTTGGCTGTTAGGAATTGTGGAAGTTGAAGTCCAAAACACCTGGAGGGCCCAAGTTTGCCCATGCCTGCAAACATTGCTTCAGATGTAAGGATACATCAAGTAACACCATAGTTCCTGTTTTGATACTTATATGTGATTTTCTGGCAAGTAAATGCTTTTTTGTTACTCTGTGACAAGGAAAACAATTTCCTTTGCCCATCTTTAATCTGACTTTTCCTGTCTGTGTAGAATTTATTTGGAGAACCAGCCGCGGAGGCGCTACGGGATCACTTCTCCAATTAGCTTGGCATTTCCAAGGGACATAGATCGCATCAACACAGAGAAGCTGATCGAAGCCATGAAGCCTTTTGGTGTGTTTGAAGACGAGGAAGAGCTGAATCGCAGGTAAGGATGAGCTCACAGAGTCGAAACATAATGGTGGAATAACGTTGTGAAGCTTACACCTGCTGTCCTTGTATTTTTAACATCTTGTTTGTTCTAAAACCTTTCCTCCTTGCAGGTTAGTTGTTCTGGACAAACTAAATAATCTGGTCAAAGAGTGGATTGTGGAAGTTGGTAAAAATAAGGTAAGAGATTTGTCAGTGTTATGCTCCTTGAACTGGTGATTTCTTACTAATAGTTTTATGTGTTGTTGAAGGCTTCTGTGGCCAGAATCACAGGGTTGTTATATGTTTTTTGGGCTGTATGGCCATGTTCCAGAAGCATTCCATCCTGAGGTTTCACCTGCATCTATGGCAGGCATCCCCAGAGGTTATGAAGTCTGTTGGAAACTAGGAAAATGGGGTTTATATATCTGTGGAATGTCCAGGGTGGGAGAAAGAACTCTTGTCTGTTGGAGGTAGGTGTGAATGTTTCAATTGGCCACCTTCATTAGCATTTAATGGCCTAACAGTTTTCAAAGTCTGGCTTCTTAGTGTCTTGGGGAATCCTTCCTTGAGAAGTGATTAGCTGTCCCTGATTTGTTTCTTGTCGGGAGTTCCCCTGTGTTTGAGTGTTGTTCTTTTTTTAATACTGTTAGCCAGATTTTGTTCATTTTCGAGGTTTCCTCCTTTCTGTTGAAATTGTCCACATGCTTGTAGAATCATAGAATCATAGAGTTGGAAGAGACCTCATGGGCCATCCAGTCCAACCCTCTGCCAAGAAGCAGGAATATTGCATTCAAAGCACCCCTGACAGATGGCCATCCAGCCCCTGTTTAAAAGCCTCCAAAGAAGGAGCCTCCACCACACTCCAGGGCAGAGAGTTCCAGTAGTGTAGGGCATAAACATCCTGTGATAATGTGGCATGTCTCATTAAGAGCCACACCCACTGTTTTAGCATGGTGGGATGTTTTCCACTCTGGGCATGCGTACTCAGCAGCAGAGTAGCAAAGCGCAAGGGCACATATAGAAAGCTGCTTTATAATTATTTCCAGAGCTGGAAATGAAAGGAGAAACCTTTGTCTGTGTATTTGTATTTTATTATAACAAAGCATAGAATGTTTAAGGTAAAGGTAAAAGTTTCCCTTTGACATTAAGTCCAGTCATGTCCGACTCTGGGAGTTGGTGCTCATCTCCATTTCTAAGCCGAAGAGCTGGCATTGTCCGTAGACACAGCCTCCAAGGTCATGTGGCCGGCATGACTGCATGGAGTTCCGTTACCTTCCCGCCGGAGTGGTACCTGTTAATCTACTCACATTTGCATGATTTCGAACTGCTAGGTTGGTATAAGCTGGGGTTAACAACGAGAGCTTATGCCCACCTCAGATTCGAACCTGCGACCTTTTGGTCAGCAAGTTTAGCAGCTCAGTGATTTAACTCACTGTGCCACCTGTGTCTATTTATATTTTGTAATCCGCAGTCCTCTCTGGGAGAAGGGCAGAATATAAACAACGTATTATTTATTTATTTAAATGTGTTTACGAAGGTAGAGTTCTGGAGCCAATAATAAAATCTAGGCTCACTCTACCCACTAATTTAAGTACTACATACGTACTACATACTGATACTATACTCCTCTCAGCCCACAGGCAACTCAGGGCAGTTTACAGTCAGCATCAAAGACATAAAATATGATTAAAACAGTTAATTTAAATATAAAACCCAATACAACAGTCAATATCAATAAAACATGTATCAGTTTGAGTCTCCTTGTTAAAAGCATTATCCAATAGTGTCATCCAAGCATTCTGTTTTTTTCTCTGTATTTTATATTGTATCTACAAATGCTTGCTCAAAAAGCCAAGACATGACTTTTTTTGGAATGTTAAGAGGGAAGGGGCCAAGCTAATATCCCTAGGGAGGGCGTTCCATAGCTGAGGGGCCACCACTGAGAAGGCCCCGCCAGACATACTTGTGCCAAAGGCGTGATCAAGAGCAGGGCCTCCCCAGACGATCTTAAACACCAAGAGCAGTGGTTCTCAACCTGGGTCCCCAGATGTTTTTGGCCTACAACTCCCAGAAATCCTAGCCAGTTTACCAGCTGGTAGGATTTCTGGGAGTTGGAGGCCAAAAATATCTGGGGACCCCAGGTTGAGAACCACTGACCTACAGCCATTATTATTATTATTTATTTATTTATTTATTTATTTATTTGTGTGGCAGCCAGATATTGATATTATCTTGTGTACATGAGAACTGCTTTCCCCCCAGGAAATAACTCTGAATAATTTCTTACATACGTACGTGCATATATGTATGATAAATAGCAAGCTCATCTTATGCCATGATCATCACTGAAAAATTAAAATGGCTTCAATTTTTACAAGTGAAAATGTTCTCATCTTTCCTGCAGAACCTCCCCCCTTCAGTGTCATTGAGTTCCAGTGGCAAAATATTGACGTTTGGCTCCTATCGGCTTGGAGTACACACGAAAGGTATGCTTCTGCCTATCAGACCTGACCGATGAAATGGCTCATCTTGAGTTTCTTTGTGTGTGTGTGTGTGTGTGTGTGTGTGTGTCAGGAGCGACTTGAGAAACTGTAAGTCACTTCTGACATGAGAGAATTGACCATCTGCAAGGACGTTGCCCAGGGGAAACCAGGATGTTTTGATGTTTTACCATCCTTGTGGGAGGCTTCTCTCATGTCCCCACATGGGTAGCTGGAGCTGAAAGAGGGAGCTCATCCGTGCTCTCCCCGGATTCTAACCTGTGACCTGTCGGTCTTCAGTCCTGCCGGCACAAGGTCTTCAGTCCTGCCCATCTCGAGCTACCAGCCATTGCTAATTGTCTCTTGTCCTTTGTAGGTGCTGACATAGATGCTCTCTGTATTGCCCCCAGGCACGTGGAAAGATCAGACTTCTTCCAGTCATTCTTTGAAAAGCTGAAAATTCAAGATGGCATCAGAAACTTAAGAGTAAGCTTCTCTTTTCACTTTCACCAGCTTGTGTGTGTGTGCTTGGCTGTATTCACTCAGATGTCATTGGTGCAAAGAAGTGAAACAAATGACAGACACACAAGCGTTGATACCTCTTTGCCTCCAACACCTTTTTCTCTCCTGAACTATGTAGGGCAGGCATGGGCAAACTTCAGCCTTCCATGGGGCTTTGAACTCCAACTCCCACAATTCCTAACAGCCTACCGGCTGTTAGGAATTGTGGGAGTTGAAGTCCAAAAGACCTGAAGGGCTGAAGTTTGCCCATGCCTGCTGTAGATGCTGGGAGCCAGGAGAAGCATGTGGCCTATGGATCTTACAATCCATCAGCCACAGCTTCTGCTCACCTAGCAGATCAAAAACAGAAATGTGAGTAGATAAATAGGTACCACTTTAAGCGGGGAGGTAATAAAAGGAGGASATGCCAGCAATTTGATCGGGAGGATGTCTACAGACAAAGGAGACAGAGCGGAATATAAATAAAGATAATAATAATAATAATAATAATTATTATTATTATTATTATTATTATTATTATTAACACAAGATGAGTCCACAGAAGACACTCTTCTGGCTGTTGAATTGGATCACACGTKGGACACTTCCCAAGTGTCTAGGACTGTGTGATGTATCAGCGAATAATGCGTGCAGATTCTAGTAAGGTAGCCTTCTGCAGCTGGCAGATGGTAATTTTGTCAGTGGCAATTGTGTTTAAGTGCAGGCCAAGGTCTTTAGGCACTGCACCCAGTGTGCCGATCACCACTGGGACCACCTTGACTGGCTTGTGCCAGAGTCTTTGCAGTTTGATCTTTGAATCCTCATATCGTGTCAGCTTTTCCATTATTGTTGTTGTTGTTGTTATTATTATTATTATCAATACACATTTATAGTAACTAGCCAAAAAGGTAAGTAATTAAATAGACGTGGTAGGTCTAAATCAATCACCCTTTCAGTAATTACCAACAATACCTTTTTGAATGAAAGCTCTTTTTGTCCCGTTTCTGCAGGCAGTCGAAGACGCATATGTGCCAGTAATAAAATTTGAATTTGATGATATTGAGGTAATTTTTTCAACTTTGTTTGATTTTACATTTATATGGAGTAAGTGTGTGCTTCAGTTGGTATTAGGCACAGATTAGACAATATATAAACTGTGAGATAAAGTAGCTGTCCAGAAAGAGATTGACCCATTCTTCCCTTACCAAGATCTCCTTATAGAATGATCCATTGTGTCCCTTTTATCCACGGGCCCAGTAACCACAGTTTCATTTACCCATGCCAAACAAAATATATCTTCTTTATGCATTTTCTAGATCCTCCAGCATGAGTCTATGGTATTCCTGGGCCAAAAGTACTTCATTTCAATAGAGTTTGTTATTACCCATTATTTTGCATATCTATTTCATGTGGATACATATATTTCCTTTGGGGGAAATGGAAGGGTCCTGAGGCTGTTAGGAATTATGGGAGTTGAAGTCCAAACCACCTGGAGGGCTGAAGTTTTCCCATTCCTGCCTTAGAGCCAGATGCACTGGCCAAGCAAGCATGCCTGATGCTGGGGAACCATTGAATCAGATCGCTGTTGAGAAACTGCTTTTATTTCGCACCTTTCTAGATCGATCTTGTGTTTGCAAGGCTGCCGCTGCCCACCATTTCTGATAACCTGGATCTTCGAGATGATTCAAGTCTGAAAAGCCTCGATATAAGATGTATTCGAAGCTTAAACGGTAACCTCTTCCTTTTCCAAAAGCCTGTGAATGGCTACTGAGCACTATTTTTTAAAATTCAAAACCAGATGGATGCTGCTATAAAAAAAACATGCTAAAATATACAGCACATGCACTCCTGTGATTGCATGAATCTTTGTTTTGTAAAATTTCTGGTGTTTCGAGACAAGACCCTTGCCATGAAAGAGGAAAATCGTTGGAAATCCAAGTGATATTTTCTTCATTTTGTAACTTCCTTTTCTTTGTAGTCTCCTGAAAAAAATCCATTAAGGAGAAAATATGGAAATATTTATTTATTTATTTACAGTATTTGTATACCGCTTTTTTCACCCCGAAGGGGACTCAAAGCGGTTTCCACATAGGTAATGGCAAAATTCAATGCCAGCACAAACAATTACAATTATACAATTATAGTTAGACATAAATCAAATTAAAATACATCCATAAACAGTAGAACAATCGTTAAAACAATAAAACAGTCTCATCTCATCTCATCAAAGCTCCTTAATATTTTTGACTAGTAATTCTAGGAGCCTGAAGTCTGGAAGCACCTATAAAACTGGTGCTTTTACTGTTGTCAAACATGTAATTGAATGATTGGTTGTTAATTAGTGCACTATTTAAACTAGCATGCCTGATGATTAATATCAGAGGTTCTATTTTAAATAGTGGTTGCACTAATGTAGTGTTATCAAGTAATAATTAATAATCTATATAAATAAAAATGTAATGTTTGTTTGTGGGATTAACATAACTCAAAAACCACTGGATGAATTGACATCAAATTTGGACACAATACACTTATCAAGCCAACGAGTGACCATCACTCATAAAAACACTGAAAAACACAGCAGAAGAGACTTAAAAAACAAAAAAAAATACATTACAATGCATCCACAAAACCACACACACATATACACATGCAAAAACACATATGCACAAACGTATACACACATATACACACAAAACACATAAACACAGACTGGGCCACAGCAACGTATGGAAGGGAATGGCTATAAATAATAATAATGATGATGAAAATAATCTATATAAATAACAATGTCATGTTTGTTTGTGGGATTGACATAACTCAAAAACCACTGGAAGAATTGACACCAAATTTGGGCACAAGACACGTTTCAGGCCAATGAGTGACCATCACTCATAAAAACACTGAAAAACAGCAAAAGGGACCTAAAAGCCAAAAAAACCAATATATATTACAACGCATGCGCAAAACCACATATATATACACAAACACACATATACACAAATATATATACACACAAAGTACATATACACAGACTTGGCCACAGCAGTGTGTGGCAGGGGATGGCTAGTAATATTATTATTATTATTATTATTATTATTATTATTATTTATATTCTGCTCTATCTCCCCGAGGGGCCTCAGAGCACATTACAGAACATATATACAGCAAGCATTCAATGCCATTATACAATTAACAAAGACAGACAATACATTAACAGAGGTAAAGGCTTTCCCAGATTTTTTTATCTCCAGCATCTGGAGGTTGTGCTCGACTCTGACCACAGGGAGGTGCTGTCACTCCATCTGCCATTCCAAGGAGCTTTGTTGTCCGTAGATGTCCTCCCAATCGAATCGCCAGCATGTCCTCATGGGCACCCTTTATTACCTCCCCACTTAAAGCAGTACCAATTTATCAACTCCCATTGCTGTTTTCGAATTGCTAGGTAAGCAGAGGCTGGGACTGACAGCAGGAGCTCACCTCGACCCAGGCTTGAACTGTCAACCTTTCGATCGGCAATATTTTCTTCAGCTGGCTGTTTAACCCGCTGTGCTAAGCTCGGCCCCTCAGTAACTGGAAAGAGTGCTTTTACAACTCTGAAAAAGAGGTCTGGATTGTCCCAATATCTCAAATGAAGGTTGAGAGATCGTATGACAAATTCAAAGCGATTCAAGGCCACATTCCAAGAAGAGCAGATACCCACAGAGTTGCTGAGTGTGTTTTCCATCACAACCACTAATACAGAGCAAAGGCATAAATTCCGAAAGGTTGCCAGTTCGAAATCCGGGTCGGAGGGAGCACCCGACCTTCAGCCCAGCTTACTGTCTACCTAAGCAGTTCAAAAATAGCTGTGATTAGAGAAATTAGGTACCACTTAAGTGGGGAGGTATTTTATGGCACCATAAAGGAAATACCAGAAACTGGGTTGTTGTAGGTTTTTCGGGCTGTATGGCCATGTTCTAGAAGTATTCTCTCCTGACGTTTCGCCTGCATCTATGGCAGGCATCCTCAGAGGTAGTGATTCAAGCCATGAAAGCCTTCGACAAGGAAATCTGTGTTCAAGGCTCTTCGTCATAGAGGATGGAGTAACAGCACCCTCCTGTGGCCGGAATCAAGCACAACCTCCAGGACGCCGAAATTGGAAAAAAATGCCTCTATCTGTTGTCTGTCTTGTCCATTTAATGGCATTGAATATTTGCTGTGTATGTGTCCTGTGATCTGCCCCGAGTCTCCCTTCGGGGTGGGAAGGGCGGATTATAAATGCTGTAAATGAATAAATACTAAATAAATAAATTCCTTGTCCTAATAGCAAGCAAAATAGCTGTATGTGTTGCTAAACCATGACCATAGTACTGAAAACAGGTGGAAAATGCTTGTTAGCCAATAAAAGGTTCCACCATATCACTAAAACATGGTGGAAATTACTGAAAATTCCCGGTTCTAAATTAGGAAAACCCAGAGCCGAGAAGCCACTTTCTAGAGTGGCACCTTAAGGAGGGAAATTATTCCAAAACTTCCTGTAGTTGTCAAGTGAGCTTAGCATTTCCACTTGTAACTGCCCAAGCCATGTTTTTCAGCACAACTTAATCAAGAAAAATTAATCTTATTATGTGCCATGTTCTTTTTTTGTGGTACAATCCTGCTGGTTCTTGGTAGCCCAGTTTGACTTTGTTTAATGATGAAGGTTTAACTTTTGCCGGCAGGTTTCAGAGTCACTGATGAGATACTTCATTTGGTACCAAACAAGGAGAACTTCAGGCTGACACTCAGGGCAATTAAACTGTGGGCGAAACGTAAGTACTTAATACATCACATTTTGTGCCATCAGCCTCTATGCTTAATAGTCCTTGAAATGACTCTTTAGGCTAAGCCAAGTGAGCCTGTCACATATGCATGGGGCCTCAGAATCAGCCTCATGACCATTATGCCCCAAATCCCAAGGATTTAACTTGAAACTTTGTATGCTCTTTGATGTTTCCAGAGAAACATTCTCAAGTAAGCTTGCTTTTCCTGCTGAGTGCTGAAAACCAGACTGGGATATGTAGCTGACCCTCCACACTTGCGAGTTTAACTTTTGTGGGTTTTTATTCATGGATTTCATTAAATAATCATAATAATGATGATAATAATAACAACAACAACAACTGCAAAGACTGGCACAATAATAATAATAACTGCAAAGACTCTGGCACAAACTAGTAAAGGTGGACCCAGTGGTGATCAACACACTGGGTGCAATGCCTAAAGACCTTGGCCTGCACTTAAACACAATCGGCGCTGACAAAATTACCATCTGCCAGCTGCAAAAGGCCACCTTACTGGGATTTGCATGCACTATTCACCGATACATCACACAGTCCTAAACACTTGGGAAGTGTCCAACGTGTGATCCAATACAACAGCCAGCAGAGTGATCTTGTTTGCTGTGGACTCATTTTGTTGTGTTTCTAGTAGTAATAATAATAATAATAATAATAATAATACAACAACAGTAACAACAACAACTTTATATTCCACCCTATCTCAGTACGGCAAACATTCAATGCTGTTATACAATTAACAAAGACAGACAGTACATAAACAGGTAAAGGCTTCCCATCTTTTTCCATCTCTGGCATCTGGAGGCTGTGCTCAACTTTGGCCAACTTTGGCTCTTTCTCCACTAGTGTGCCGATCACCACTGGTGATTGTGCCAGTCTTTGCAGTTATTATTATTAATAATAATAATAATAATAATAATAATAATAAAATCCATGAATAAAAACCCACAAAAGTTACATATCAGCCACATATCCCAGTCTGGTTTTCAGCACTCAGCAGGAGGAGCTTCTATGCTGAGGAGCATTGTTGTTCTTCGACCAGTGGTTCTCAACTCGTGGGTCCCAGATATTTTGGCCTTCAACTCCCAGAAGTCCTTACAGCTGGTAAACTGGCTGGGATTTCTGGAAGTTGTAGGCCAAAACTCCTGGAGACTCAACAGGTTGAGAGCCACTGCCTTAGATGCTCTCCCGATTGAATTGCCAAAATGTTCACATGGGCACCTTTTATTGTAGGTGAACTATAAATCCTAGCAACTACAACTCCCAAATGTCCAAATCAATCACCCCCCAACCCCACCAGTACTCAAATTTGGGTGTACAATGTTCCCTCACTTATCATGGGTGTTACATTCCAGGACCACAAAGTAGGGATGCTGTATATGTATATTTCCCCCAGCATCATTATCTTCTCAAGCTTTCCTGTCTTCTCATGATGTGGCCAAAGTACTTCATCTTTGCCTCTGATATCCTTCCCTCCAGTGAGCAGTTGGGCTTTATTTCCTGGTTATTTCTCCTTGTCCCTTGCTGGGGTGAGGAGAAAGTAAGCTAATCTGAAACTACCTAATACTGAATGAGAAATATCCTCCTTTAGGACGTGGCATTTATTCCAATATGCTGGGATTTCTTGGTGGTGTTTCTTGGGCCATGCTGGTGGCGAGGACGTGCCAGTTGTACCCGAACGCTTTGGCGTCAACGCTGGTCCATAAATTCTTTGTGATCTTTTCAAATTGGTAAGTATCTGATACTAAATCAGCTGCAGTGTAGGCAGAACATAGATTACATCCCAGGTCATCAAAATGTTGCCATTAAGTTACAACTGGCAAGGAACGCACTCATGTAATTGTCCATTTCACAATACGATGCTCTTGGCATTATTCCAAGGAGCAAAAAGCTGGCTACAGTAAATCTGGAGTGGTTCTCTGGAAAGAGTCCTTCCTTTAGGAGGGCTGTTAGTACTTTTGCATTATATTCTAGGTGATTAATAATGGTATATTGGCTCATGTTTTGCAGGCAGGGAAATTAAGGAGGAGATATAAGTAGAAATGTGCTGTTCCGAGCATTGCAAGAGCCCTTATTTAAAATAAACATTCCACTGGGCCTGTCCTAATAAGACAAGAGAGCACTCTAGCTACAAGTTCATTGAGTCCAATACTAGGGGTGAATTGGACTATTTTTTTGGAGGGGGAGCTCTTGGGATGAGGGGTGAAGGGTAAAGGGCTATTATTGTCCAAACGCATCCACCCCTACATCCCATCTCGTAATCTAAGATCATCCGGGGAGGCAGAGCCCCCTGTGCCGGCAGGACTAAAGACTGACAGATCACAGGTTTGAATCCAGGGAGAGGCGGATGAGCTCCCTCTATCAGCTCCAGCTCCTCATACGGGGACATGAGAGAAGCCTCCCACAAGGATGATAAAAAAAACATCAAAATCATCCTGGCGTCCCCTGGGCAACGTCCTTGCAGACGGCCAATTTTCTCACACCAGAAGTGACTTGCAGTTTCTCAAGTTGCTTGTAACACAACAAAAAAAAATCCAGGGAGGCCCTGCTCTCGCTCCCGTCAACTGCATAGATGCGTCTGGTGGGGACGAGAGACAGGGCCTTCTCGGCTGTGGCCCCCCGCCTAGGAAACACAATCCCAAATGAGGTAAGATCCACTCCCTCCCTCCTGGCTTTTAGGGGGGGGGGAAATAAAATACTGGTTTTGAGACCAGGCCTTCGGGCAGTAGAAGTAGATGTATGCAGCATTTTGGAAAGACAATGACTGGATCGGCGATTCGATGGACAAGACTGTTTTATTGTTTTAATGATTGTAGGAGGGTAGGACTAAAAGAGCTATTAGACTGAGGGATCGGGGATAGGGAGCTAGTACGAAGGGTAGGGGACAATAAGGCTAGGGAGTAATTGGACTGGAGAAAAGGGGATAAAAGGATATTTGACTGAGGAGTAGGGAGAAGGAGGCCTTTGGGTTAGGGTGTAGGGAGCTTTTGGGCTGGGGAGCGGAAGGTAGGGGGCTTTTGGGATAGGGAGGAAGGAGTTGGGGCTATTGGGCTGTGGGATAGGGGAAGAAGGTCTGTTGGGCTCCTATCAAGTACTTCTGGTGATTCAACATCTTTATTAATGACTTAGATGAAGGGCTAGAAGGYATGATCATCAAGTTTGCAGACGACACCAAGTTGGGAGGGATAGCCAATACCCCAGAGGACAGGAGCAGAATTCAAAACACTCTTAACAGATTAGAGAGGTGATCGGCCAAAACTAGCAAAATGAAGTTCAACAGGGATAAATGCAAGATACTCCACTTAGGCAGAAAAAATGAAACGCAAAGATACAGAATGGGGGATGATGCCTGGCTCAAGAGCAGTACATGTGAAGATCTTGGAGTCCTCGTAGACAACAAGTTAAACATAAGCCAACAATGTCTTGTGGCGGCAAAAAATGCCAATGGGATTTTGCCCTGCATAAATAGGTATATATTATCTGAATCCAAGGAAGTTATACTACCCCTCTATTCTGCCTTGGTCAGACCACTCCTGGAATCACACAGTGTCCAATTCTGGGCACAACAATTTCAGGGTGAGGTTGACAAGCTGAAATATGTCCAGAAGATGGTGACTAAAATGATCAAGGGTCTGGAGAACAAGCCCTATGAAGAGCGGCTGAAAGAGCTGGGCATGTTTAGCCTTCAGAAGAGAAGACTGAGAGGAGACATGATGAGGGCCATGTATAAATATGTGAGAAGAAGTCATAGGGAGGAGGGAGCAAGCTGTTATGTCTGTCGATACCAGGCATGGGCAAACTTTGTTTGAGTTGGAGTCCAAAACACCTGGAGGGCCAAACTTTGCCCTTGCCTGGTCTATAATTTGTCAGACTATCAGCATAAGTAAGATTGCAGATGTAGATATCTACAGAAATGAGATATTCCTAGGCTGCAATGGAGAAACACGTGCCTAGCAAAAGGATGGGAGGACTATCGGTGTCTACACATCTGCAGCCAATGTCGCTCATCTTTCTCTTGCAGGGAATGGCCCACTCCTGTCTTGTTAAAAGAACCTGAAGAGAGCAATCTCAACTTGCCTGTTTGGGACCCCAGGGTTTGTATAATAAATATAGACATTCCTGTCACCCTTGACGGGGACTCTGTTTTGGGTTGCTGCATTCCTGAATGGAAAGGAAAAATTAGGACTTGCAAAGCTTCCTTTCTTGGACAAGTCGCAGCATTGTTGCCATTTTGGCGTGGCAAATGCTTGCCTAGGGGATTCAGAGAGTTGTCCCAAAAGGTACTGTTTCCGAGTTAGTGGTATTGCCAAGTACCGTATATACTCACGTATAAGCCGGCCCGAACATAAGCCGAGGCACTTAATTTTACCACAGAAAAACTGGAAAACGTATTGACTCGAGTATAAGCCGGGGGGGGGGGGGGGAAATGCAGCACTACTGGTGCAATGGGTTAAACCCTTGTGCTGGCTGAACTGCTGACCTGAAGGTTGGCGGTTTGAATCTGCAACACAGGGTGAGCACCTGTCTGTCAGCTCCACTTTCCCATGCAGAGACATGAGAGAAGCCTCCAATAGGATGGTAGAATCATAGAATCATAGAGTTGGAAGAGACCTCATGGGCCATCCAGTCCAACCCCCTGCCAAGAAGCAGGAATATTGCATTCAAAGCACCCCTGACAGATGGCCATCCAGCCTCTGTTTAAAAGCCTCCAAAGAAGGAGCCTCCACCACACTCCGGGGCAGAGAGTTCCACTTCTGAACAGCTCTCACGGTCAGGAAGTTCTGGGCATCCCCTGGGCAACGTCTCTGCAGACGGCCAATTCTCTCACACCAGAAGCGACTTGCAGTTTCTCAAGTCACTTCTGACATGATACAAAAAATTAAATTCATTGGTGAGGAAGGGTTTTAAAATGGGGAGTGGGTCTAATTACTTCTCGTTGCTATGCTTCAGCAGCTTTCCCCCCATTGTATGCCACAGGTAAACCCATCTGACCGGTATCATCTGATGCCCATCATCACACCAGCCTACCCTCAGCAGAATTCGACTTACAATGTGTCCACTTCAACCCGAGCCATAATGGTAGAAGAATTCAAACACGGTAAGCTAATCCAGTCCATCCTTTTCCATAGGCAGCAGTGCTTAAAGTTCAGGGATATAAAATGGTTGCCTTGTATTCTGGGCTTTCTGTGGTAGTTTTCCAATTGAGACTCATTTTTACATACCATCTATATAAATAAAAATGTAATGTCCGTTTGTTGAATTAGCATAACTCAAAAACCACTGGACAAATTGACACCAAATTTGGACAGCATACACCTAACAACCCAATCCATGTCCATCATTCAAAAAATTGAGTTTGTCATTTGGGAGTTGTAGTTGCTGGGATTTATAGTCAACCTACAATCAAAGAGCATTCTGAACTCCACCAACTATGGAATTGAACCAAACATGGCACACAGAACTCCCATGACCAACAGAAAATACTAGAAGGGTTTGGTGGGCATTGACCTTGAGTTTGGGAGTTGTAGTACACCTACATCCAGAGTGCACTGTGGACTCAAACAATGATGGATCTGGACCAAACTTGGCACGAATATTCCATATGCCCAAATATGAATACAGATGGAGTTTGGGGAAAATAGACCTTGACATTTGGGAGTTTTAGTTACTGGGATTTATAGTTCACCTACAATCAGAGAGCATTCTGAACCCCAGCAACGACAGAATTGGGGCAAGCTTCCTACACAGAACCCCTGTGACCAATAGAAAATAYTTAAGGCTATCCAGGTCCAACTCCCTTCACCAGGGCAAGAAAACAATCAAATATTGTTTACCCACAAGCATAAAGAAATTACATATATTAGAAACCAACACTTTCCTATTACTTTATTTTCCAGATCACCAGACTGGGCCACGGCAACATGTGGCAGGGGATAGCTAGTCTATATAAATAAAAATGTAATGTTTGTTGAATTAGCATAACTCRAAAACCACTGGGCGAATTGCCACCAAATTTGGCCACAAGATACCTAGTAACCCAAGAAGTGRCCATCACTCAAAAATTTGATTTTGTCATTTGGGAGTTGTAGTTGCTGTGATTTATAGTTCACCTACAATCAAAGAGCATACTGAACTCCACCAATGATGGAATTGAACCAAACGTGGCACACAGGACTCCCATGAACAACAGAATGGCCATATTCTAGAAGCATTCTCTCCTGACGTTTCACCTAAATATGTGGCAGGTATCCTCAGAGGTTATGAGGCCGGTAGACTGTTAGGAATTGTGGGAGTTGAAGTCCAAAACACCTGGAAAGGACAGATTTGCCCATGCCTGATCTTTAATGTAGAATCACCAAGATACACTGTAGATATGTTTTTTTTAATATTTTGCAAGTCAACAACAACGTTTTATTATGCTCCAAAGACCCTTATTGCACCATAAATGTACAATGTATGATGGTAATGAGATTTATTTATTTATTTATCGTGTCAGGAGCAAACCAAACAGTTGTAATGCATTTTTATCAAACAAACAAACAAACAAAACAAACGTTTGCAAGCTTGGTAGTTGATTAGATGTCCTTTGACCAGTAGCTGGCCACTTGGAGTACCTCTGGTGTTACTATAAGAAGGTCCTCCGTTGTGCATGTAGTAGGGCTCAGGTTGCATTGCAGCAGGTGGTCAGTGGTTTGCTCTTCTCCACATGCGCATGTCGTGGATTCTACTTTGTGGCCCCATTTCCTAAGGTTGGCTCTGCATCTTGTGGTGCTAGAGCGCAGTCTGTTCAGCGCCTTCCAAGTTGCCTAGTTTTCTGTGTGCCCAGGGGGGAATCTCTCATTTGGTATCAGCCATTGATTGAGCTTCTGGGTTTGAGCCTGCCACTTTTGGACTCTTGCTTGCTGAGGTGTTCCAGCGAGTGTCTCTGTAGATCTTAGAAAACTATTTCTAGAAGTGACCACTCCAGAAGCAGACAGAAGAAGGTAATGAGATTAAGAACATCCAGTTAATTAAGCACACAAATGGATAAGATTTACAGCAGTTAAAAACTGCAAGTCACAATAAGCAGGCTTCAAAGTAAAATCTTTTCTGAGAAATGTCTTAGGAGAGCATACAAGAGGCGGAAGTTGAGAATAGGGGAAGTATTGAAATGACATGCAAAGCAGTTGTTGCATTCGTGTCACTCTGCCTATCTCTAACAACATCTAGTTGAACACATGATGAGGCTTCATGACATGTTGCATTTCCCAAGCCCTGCCTATTCTTGATCAGACCTAAATGTAATAATTGTGGTAGTGGCCCCATGACTTTTGGGAGGCACAAATTAGTGAATGGTGGAGGAAGGTAGGAAGAACAGTCTGTGGTTCTTGGCAAGGTTTCCTGTTTCTGTGTTCTGACTTTGTACCAGGTGATCTTTCTGTTCCTTTCTAAACTTGCAGGTCTCTGCTTCTGGGGAAGTACCTCAACAATTCCTTATTTAGATCTGCCAAAGTTTGTCATACATTATTTATAGAATGGCCTTGTGTTTCAACAGGTCTCGTGGTCACAGATGAGATTTTTCAAGGAAAGTCGGACTGGCCAAAGCTACTGGAACCACCCAATTTTTTCCAAAAATACAAGTACCTATTATTTCAAAATCTGTTTTAAGCAACTTAATTTTAGTTGACAAGGTATCAAAGTAGTTTAAGAAGTATTTTTAAAGTGGAATAGGAATAATAGCAAGGGGGATTTCCTTTATGAAAACATATTTAATAAACTTGACACAGATTGGGTTGTTGTAGGGTTTTTTTCAGGCTATGTGGACATGTTCTAGAGGCATTCTCTCCTGACGTTTCGCCTGCATCTATGGCAAGCATCCTCAGAGGTTGTGAGGTCTGTTGGAAGTAGGAAAATTGGGTTTATATATCTGTGGAATTACCAGGGTGGGACAAAACTCTTGTCTGTTAGAGCTAGGCGTGAATGTTTCAACTGACCACCTTAATTAGCATTTGATGGCCTGGCAGTGCCTGGGGCAATCTTTTGTTGAGAGGTGATTAGCTGTCCCTGATTGTTTCCTCTCTATTGTTTTGCTGTTGTAATTTTAGAGTTTTTTTAATACTGGTAGCCAGATTTTGTTCATTTTCATGGTTTCCTCCTTTCTGTTGAAATTGTCCACATGCTTGTAGATCTCAATGGCTTCTCTGTGTAGCCTGACATGGTGGTTGTGAGAGTGGTCCAGCATTTCTGTGTTCTCAAATAATATGCTGTGTCCAGGTTGGTTCATCAGGTGCTCTGCTATGGCTGACTTCTCTGGCTGAAGTAGTCTGCAGTGCCTTTCATGTTCCTTGATTCATGTTTGGGCAACTCTGTGTTTGGTGGTCCCTATGTAGACTTGAGGAGCCCCCGGTGGCGCAGTGGGTTAAAGCACTGAGCTGCTGAGCTTGTTGATCGAAAGGTCGCAGGTTCGATTCCAGGGAGCGGCGTGAGCTTCCGCTGTCAGCCCTAGCTTCTGCCAACCTAGCAGTTTGAAAACATGCAAATGTGAGTAGATCAATAGGTACCTCTCCGGTGGGAAGGTAACGGTGCTCCATGCAGTCATGCCGGCCACATGACCTTGGAGGTGTCTACGGACAACGCTGGCTCTTCGGCTTAGAAATGGAGATGAGCACCACACCTCAGAGTCAGAGATGACTGGACTTAATGTCAGGGGACTACCTTTATCTTTACCTATGTAGACTTGTCCACAGCTGCATGGTAAATGGTAGACTTCTGCAGAAGTGAGAGGATCCCTCTTGTCCTTTGCTGAACGTAGCATTTGTTGGATTTTCTTGGTGGGTCTGTTGACTCACTTCTGCAGGATTGGTCAAGGTGGTCAGTTGAAACATTCACACCTAGCTCTAACAGACAAGAGTTCTTTGTCCCACTGTGGTCATTCCACAGATATATAAACCCAATTTTCCTAGTTCCAACAGACCTCACAACCTCTGAGGATGCTTTACATAGATGCAGGCGAAACGTCAGGAGAGAATGCCTCTAGAACATGGCCATATAGTCCGAAAAAACCTACAACAACCCAGTGATTCCGGCCATGAAAGCCTTTGACAATACATTGACACATATTTTTAAAAAAGCATTTGCCAAGTGATGCATGCTGAAGAAAGGGAGCCATTTGGGTAGCCATATTAGTCAGCTGCAAGAAAATAGCTTTGTTATTGAACTCATTACAGGCAGTCCCAGAGTTACAAACAAGATAGCTTCTGTAGGCTTGTTCTTAAGTATGCATACTTAAATTGAATTAAGTATGCAAGTCAGAACAAGTACATTTTTAAGTGTAACTCCAGCCATATATAGATACATAGCGACTGAACAAATAAACAACAAAAATAGATAGATAGGTAGGTAGGTAGGTAGGTAGGTAGGTAGGTAGGTAAAGGTAGTCCCCTGGCATTAAGTCCAGCCGTGTCCGACTCTGGGGTGTGGTGCTCATCTCAATTTCTAAGCCGAAGAGCCGGCATTGTCCATAGACACCTCCAAGGTCATGTGGCTGGCATGGAGCGCCGTTACCTTCACACCGGAACGGTACCTATTGATCCACTCACATTTGCATGTTTTTGAACTGCTAGGTTGGCAGAAGCTAGGGCTGACAGCGGAAGCTCATGCAGCTCCCCGACCTTTTGGTCAACAAGCTCAGCAGCTCAGCACTTTAACCCACTGTGCCACCATGGGCTCAGATAGATAGATAGATAGATAGATAGATAGATAGATAGATAGATATAGATAGATAGGGCTGTAGAGGCCACAGTGGCACAACGGGTTAAAACATTGAGCTGCTGAACTTGCGCAATGGAAGGTTGGCGGTTCGAATCCGCGGGACGGGGTCAGCTCCTGCAGTTAGTCCCAGCTCCTGCCAACCTAACAGTTCAAAAACATGCAAATGTGAGTAGATCAATAGGTACTGCATTGGCGGAATGGTAAATGGTGCCGGCCGCATGACCTTAGAGGTGTTTACGGACAACGCCAGCTCTTTGGCTTAGAAATGAAGAGTAGCACCACCCCCAGAGCCAGAGTTGAAAGGGGAAACCTTTATTTTTATCTGTGTGTCTGTGTTTCTGTGTTTCAGTGCATTGCCTTGTGTCTCTGTCTATGTTGGAATCTGCCCTGAGTCCCCCCGAGGAAAACAGAATATATATATATATATATATATATATATATATATATACACACACACACACACACACACACACACACACACACACACACACACACATATATATAAATGTAATGTTCGTTTGTGGGATTAACATAACTCACAAACCACTGGACGAATTGGCACCAAATTTGGACACAATATACATATCAAGCCAACGAGTGACTATCACCCATAAAAAACACTAAAAAACACAGTGGATGAGACTTAAAAAGCCAAAAAATACATTACAACACATGCACAAAAGCACATATATACACAAACACACATATATACATATATACACACATATATACACACAAAAACATATACACAGACTAGGCCACAGCAAAGCATGGCAGGGGACGGCTAGTGTGTGTATATATATATATATATATATGGGGGGCACCTTGGTGGCGCAGTCTGTTAAACCACTTTGCTGCTGAACTTGCTGACCGAAAGGTTGGTTGTCTGAATCTGGAGAGCAGGGTGAGCTCCCGCTGTTAACACCAGCTTCTATAAATGTTGATAGATCAATAGGTACCGCTCCAGCGAGAAGGTTACAGCACTCCATGCAGTTGTGCTGGCCACATGACCTTGGGGGTGTCTATGGACAACGCCGGCTCTTCGGCTTAGAAATGGAGATGAGCACCACACCCCAGAGTCAGAGCACGAGTAGACTTAATGTCAAGGGAAATCTTTACCTACTACACACAGACACAAACTTTGGATAGCATAGGGAAGGTTAACCTGTAGTGTTTGTTTTGCTGTCTGTACCCCTGTTTAGAATATTTCGCTTCACTTTCTGTCCCTGACATAATTGGATTTTGAAAAAGAATGGTTTATTGTAGAAACAAGGATGGGTGAGAAAGCTTCAGTGGAGACACCTTTTCCCCTGGGTAATAACTCTTTCAGGAGTGGATTTCCCTTCCTAAGGCTAGATTGGGGATTGCTTGTATACATAACACCATGTATCAAAATTTGAACGAAGTCTGTTCCTGGTTTGAAGGTGTTATTTCCTGTTTAATTGTGCTGAACTTACTTTGAAAGTACTAGTTTTCCCTCAGAAACTTCATTTTTGTAGCTGTCACAAATTACATTGAATTGGTTGAGAGTCTTTTAATTGTGCTGAACTTACTTTGAAAGTAGTTGTGCTGCTCCAGAGACTTTGTTTTTGTGGTTGCCATAAACTGCATTGAATTAGTTGAGACTCTATGAAATAGTCATTGAAAAATGATAGCAGGATGTCCTGCAAAAACAAGGTTTTTGAAGTTTAATAAACTTTTTCCCATGTTTTAATGATAGAACCAATTAGGAAATAACATTTATAACCCAGGAACAAAAATCATGTTACATAGTGAAATATGTTGTCTGTAACTAGTTATTTCTGTGCTATGAGAAGACATAGATAGATGTAAAAGAAAGAAAAGGCTTTTTACTGTATTTCCTAAAGTTGGTCAAACACTGTGAAACTATATTTCCAGGCATTACATCGTACTGACAGCCAGTTCTTTCACTGAAGAGCACCATTTGGAATGGTAAGTCATAAGCAATATTGATGCGAGCCTTCCACTTTTGTATTAAAGCAATTAGGAATCGGAACAGGGGATATTGTCAGTATCCAGGCACACCTTTATTCCCCAGCAGTTCTGGAAATATTACTTGCTTTGTTTAACCAGCTTCCATCTGTCTTCCTACTCAACTCTGTTGCTTTCTGTGCCAATATCTCTGAAATAGTATTCAGTAATAGCTACTTCCACCACTTTTTTTGTGTCAGGAGTGACTTGAGAAACTGCAATTCACTTCTGATGTGAGATAATTGGCCATCTGCAAGGACATTGCCCAGGGGACACCCGGATGTTTGATGTTTTACCACCCTTGTGTAAGGCTTCTCTCATGTCGCTACATGGGGAGCTGGCAAAGGGAGCTCATCCACTCTCTCCTCGGATTCAGACCTCTGACCTTCAGTCCAAGTGCGAGAGAATTTACTGTCTGCAAGGACGTTGCCCAAGGGACGCCCGGATATTTTGATGTTTACCATCTGTGTGGGAGGCTTCTCTCATGTCCCTGCATGGGGAGCTGGAGCTGACAGAGGGAGTTCATCTATGCTCTCCAGATACAAACAGCTGACCTGTTGGTCAGCAGTCCTGGTGGCACAAGGGTTTAACCCACTACGCCACCGGGGCTACTACTTCTGCCACTTACTTTAGTTACTACCTTCTTTTCCCAGGGGTTGACCACCAAACCATAGTTATTGAAAGGTGCTGTCTGTTTATTAAAATCCCTTGTTAAATTATTCAAACTTTTAGAAACTTTGATTTCTCCTAAAATCCTGTCACAGTAACTAAAGATGAAAGACTGTAACAAGGAATTGAATGTTTGCCTGTGTCTGTTTATATCAATGGTTCTCAACCTGTGGGTCCCCAGATGTTTTGGCCTTCAACTCCCAGAAATCCTAACAGCTGGTAAACTGGTGGGGATTTCTGGGAATTGTAGGCCAAAACACTTGGGGGACCCAAAAGTTGAGAACCACTGGTTTATATGCTGCAATCTGCTCTGAGTCCCCCCAGGAAGAAGGGTGGAATATAAATAAAGTGTTGTTGTTGTTGTTGTTGTTGTTGTTGTTGTTGTTGTTGTCGTCATCATTGGAGCCCCCAGTGGTGCAATGGGTTAAACCCTTGTGTCACCAGGACTGCTGACCAACAGGTCAGCTGTTCGTATCTGGGGAGAGCAGGTTGAGCTCCCTCTGTCAGCTCCAGCTCCCCATGCAGGGACATGAGAGAAGCCTCCCACAAGGATGATAAACATCAAAATATCCAGACGTCCCCTGAGCAACATCCTTGCAGATGGTCAATTCTCTCATACCAGAAGTGACTTGCAGTTTCTCAAGTCACTCCTGACACGGAAAAATGATTATTATAACTTTTAGTTGAAAAGAAATTTAACATTGTTTGCATTTAGACCTGTCAATTTAAAGTGTTCCTCCTGACATCTTTTTCAAGATCATTTTTTTGCAAGAGGTGAATGTTTCTTTTTTAAACCAAGCTCTGATGTCTGTTGTTTGTTGATACGGTTTTAATATTGATTTTTTTTTTACACACAGCCATTAGTCATTATTTTATGTCATGCATATTTTTATGGCTAAAATAAATGAAATCTTTATCATGAAAAGAAACAAGAAAAGTGCTTCCATCTATACTGCACTTGCCAGTATAGAGGTCTGGATTTTCCGTCTGTCTCTTGCATTTTACTTTTTTGCCACTGGATGTCGCATTTCAGCTAAATTGTTGATGATCGCTCTACAGGTCTTCATGAAAACTATTAACTGGTTTTATAGCATATGCATAGTTCTAAACAGTTTTATAGCATATGCATAGTTCTAAACAGTTTGAAACTTTTAAAATCATTTTTAGCCAGTCCTTTAACTTATAAAATAGTTTGATATGTTAAGACTTCAGTAGGGATCCCATCAGGTCCGCTGGCTTTGTTATTTTTTTGTTGGCTGATGGCATTGCTAACTTCCTCCAAGCCATTATGCAACGGTTTGACATGTTTGATATCATATGGTTTGATATGTTCATAAACATTCTATTTTTAACACTGTTCTAAATTTGTCGTGCTGGTTTATTGTACCCCGCTCTAAGATTGCTAGATCTGTTCTAATAAATATAAATATTCCTTCTTGTAAGGGTCGGCCTAGTAGAATCCAAAATCCGTGTACTTGTTGGAAACTTGGAGCGGAATGAATTTATTACCCTCGCACATGTCAATCCACAATCCTTTCCTGGGAATAGGACACAACCTAAAGAGTGAGTTTAATAATAAATTCTGATGCGTGAAAATGTAATTGGAGGAACCATTTCCAGAAGAGCAGCTACGTTAGACAGTTGCAGCAAATAGAAATGTTTTATGCCATAGCAAATATCTTTAAGGTGCCATTTTAGGCTCTTCATTAATCTAAGGATGTTTCGTTTTGGGAATGATTTGATGGCACACAAAGCAACAACAGAGTTACAGAATGGGTTAGGCAAAACAAGATTTCTACCTCCCTCAATGAATTTTTCCTTTAGCCCCTACATTTCTAGCATCACAGTACTCTAAAACTTGGTTTTAGCATTTTAAGAAAATACACTTTGAGCATCCAAAGAAAACAGGGAAAATTATCAAGGGAATATGAACAGCAAGCAATTGGAAGCATTCTGGATGAGAATGGGGTTTAGTGCGTCCCTCTCTGCAATTCTAGAAATTTGGAAACAGGAAGAACTTTTCATGGTGGGAGGGATACAGAATTCTTGTTTGGGAAAACAAAGCTCCTTCCTTTGCCTCATCTGCAGCAGCATATTTTCCATTGGCAAATGTGTGTCTTCTGGAGTAGTATTTATTTATTGTGTCAGAAGTGAATTGAGAATACAGTTATAATGTATTTTAAAAACCCCACAAACAAAGTTAAAAACTTTTTTTCAATTCTTAAGACCTTTATTAAGAGATGCTTGCAGTTTGACTTGAAAAAAATCAGGTTGTACGTTTCATATAAATTAAAAATGAAGTTTCTTTAAAATTCTCAACTTTTCTGACCAAATATATATATCCATTAAAAAACATGTCACGGCAGCTCCATCAAAGGGAGCGGCTGCGGCCGGAGATACGAATAATAATAATAATAATAATAATAATAATAATGACATGCTGCATAGATAGAGACAATGCAGAGAGTTCAAGTTTTCAATCTGATCATCAGCAAAAAGCAAGCACTTAAGGTCTTCTTCCATTCCAATTTAAATTTAAAAAACTTGACATTATACTAAATTTCCTTTGACCAGAATCCTTCTTTTACTATTTGCTGCCTGTAGCCTGACTTCATCTAAGAGGAGGAAAGTGATCCATCTATCTTAACTTTTAAGGGAGAGGAAATATAATAATAAGCATAAATAATACAGGAACAAACTTGGGCATTAAGTTGATTCCCTTTCTTGCAACTGGATTAACATTTTAATTGATGTCTTCTCCTGGGACTCTCCCTTCAGGAGTGATTATGTGTCTTTGTGGTTTCTGGGAATAATTTTCAAGAAAGCAGAGAATGCGGAGAGCGTAAACATTGACTTGACCTATGATATCCAGTCATTCACCGATACAGGTAAAGCTTTCTCTTCTGGAAATTATTGTTTGGAAAGGGCTTGAATGATTTGTATTTACCCAAAGGAGTGCCTCAGTTCAGTATAAATGTGGTTTCTGTGCTATTGTAGAGTTTCTCAGTCTCGCTGAAATTCAGTTCCCTTTGCCCACTGTCCAGATCAATTGGGCTAGTAATGAGACTGCTGTGTTCATCCAAAGCTGATTTATCATGTATCCTTTCTTCACTCATATACATATCTTAGCACAGTCTTTCTCAACCTGGGGCTCGGGACCCCTAGGTGGGTCACGAGGGGGTTTCAGAGGTGTCACCTAAGACCATCAGGAAACACGTATTTCTGATGGTCTTAGGAACCCTTTTGGCAGAGAAGGCTGAGTATCTCTCTGCCTGTCCTTCTCTTCCTTTTTAGTGTTGGTGAACTCACAGAATTAAAAAACTACCCTCCAGCCCCACCAGTATTTAATGTTGGCTATGTGGGTAGTGTGCCAAGTTTGGTACAGATGCATTGTGAGCTGGGTTCAGAGTGCTTTGATTGTAGGTGAACTATAAATCCCAGGAACTACAACTCCCAAATGTCAAGGTCTGTTTCCCCCAAACTCCACCAGTGTTCATATTTGGGTATATTGAGTTTTCATGCCAAGTTTGGTCCAGATCCATCGTTGTTTGAGTTCGCAGTCCTCTCTAGATATAGGTCAGTGTTTCTCAACCTAGGGGTCAGGACCCCTGGAGGGGTTGCGAGGGAGTGTCAGAGGGGTCACCAAAGACCATCAGGAAACACAGTATTTTCTGTTGCTCATAGGGGTTCCATGTGGAAAGTTTGGCCCAGTTCTATCATTGGTGGGGTTCAGAATGCTCTTTGATTGTAGGTGAATTATAAATCCCAGGAACTACAACTCCCAAATGTCAAGGTCCACTTTCCTCAAATTTCACCAGTGTTCACATTTGGGCATATTGAGTATTTGTGCCAAGTTTGGTCCAAATCCATTGTTGTTTGAATCCATAGTGCGGTCTGGATGTAGGTGAACCTACAACTCCAAAACTCAAGGTCAATGCCCACCAAACCCTTCCTGTATTTTCTGTTGCTCATAGCAGTTTTTTGGCAGAAAAGGCTGAATATCTCTCTGCCTGTCCTTCTCTTCCTTTTTGGTGTTGATGAACTACAACGTCCAGAATTAAAAAGTTGCCCTCCGACCCCACCAGTATTTAATGTTGGCCATGTGGGTAGTGTGCCAAGTTTGGTACAGATCTATTGTGAACTAAGTTCAGAGTGCCCTGATTGTAGGTGAACTATAAATCCCAGCAACTACAACTCCCAAATGTCAAGGTCTGTTTTCCCTAAACTCCACCAGTGTTCACATTTGGGCCTATTGAATTTCCGTGCCAAGTTGGGTCCAGATTCATCATTGTTTGAGTCTGCAGTGCTCTCTGGGTGTAGGTGAAGTACAACTCCAAAACTCAAAGTCAATGCCCACCAAACCCTTCATGCAATCCAGTATTTTCTTTTGGTCATGGGAGTTCTGTGTGCCAAATTTGGTTCAATTCCATAATTGGTGGAGTTCAGAATGCTCTTTGATTGTAGATGAACTATAAATCCCAGCAACTACAACTCCCAAATGACAAAATCAATCCCCCTCCAACCCCACCATTATTCAGATACAGGCATATCGGGTATTTGTGCCAAATTTGGTCCAGTGAATGTGAATACATCCTGCATATCAGATATTTACATTACTATTCATAACAATAGCAACATTACAGTTATTAAAGTAGTAACAAAAATACTTTTATGGTTGGGGGTCACCACAACATGAGGAACGGCATTAGCAAGGTTGAGATTCTGTCGGTTTCCATTTCTTTCTTGCCTGTTTAACTAACTCGGAAAGCTGCATGACTGTGGAAAATTTACAGTAAGCGCTTCTTTTCTGTCCCTAGATTTCCTTCTTTACTTTCTCCAGTTGACAGGACAGAACTTTGCCCACTTCCTTGGTTTCAGGATGTTCCGTGTTTTCATTCATGGTTTGCTTGATTGCAACTCCCATAATGCTTAATTGTGAGTAATGCTAGCTATGTTAAACCTGATGGGAGTTATAGTCCAACAGCATTTCCCCACTCAGTTTACAGACAAGCCAACAATATCAACATGTTGAAAGAAGGCATGAAGATTGAAGCTACTCACGTGAAGAAGAAGCAGCTCCACTATTACATACCAGCAGATTTGTTGCAGAAGAGGAAGAAGGTAAGGCCCAGATTCATGGCTGCTTATATTTAAGAGAGTGGTCAAAACATTTTGCTTGCATGTTTGGGCTTAAGCCAGGTTTTCTTCAGCAGAGTATGCCGGATGTTGGGCGCCACACTCGGCTGGTGTTGAAAAGGACATCTTTGGACAACGGCTCCCTGTACGCTTCTAGGGACACCGAAGATGCAACGCAGCTCAAAGGTCTTACTTCATTTGGTGGTCTAGCAAATCCCAGCAGTCAGTCTCTTTCAAAAGAATTAGAAAGGTAGGCTTTTCTTACTAAACCATGTTTGATGTTAAGATGTTTGCCATTTAGAAGTCTTAGCAGCAGAGAGGGAGACTGCTTAGTCTCCAAATTATTATTATTATTATTAAATAATATTATATTTATATAAATTCTAGAATAATAGAGGAGAGACTACATGGGCCATCTATTTGTTTATTTACCATATTTATACCCTGCCTTTCTCAGCCCGTAGGGGTCTCAAGGCGGCTTACATATATAGGTAGCGATTTGATGCCGCACGGGTGAGAAAAGCAGTATATAAATGGTATAAGTAAATAATAAATACACTAAAACAGTAATTAAAACATATCAAACCTTAAAACCACTTACTTACCAGATTGGATTACTGTAATGCACTCTACGTGGGGCTGCCTTTGAAGATGGCTTGGAAATGTTAATTGGTACAATGGGTGGCAGCCAGGTTATTATTATTATTATTATTAATATTAACTTTATTTATACCCCACAAAATCTCCTGAAGGACTCGATGCAGCTTACAAAGGCCAAGGCCGCTGACAACAACAACATACAATACACAATAAAACTCATAAGCAAATAATAAACATCAAGCAAAACAATAAAACAGTAAAACAATGACACCGTGAACGCCATTAAAACCTAAAGGCCGTGCCAAATGTAATAGACAAAATTTAAAAGTGCTGAACTTGACAGGTAATATGTAGAGGTATAAGGAGGTAGGTGCAATGTGCAGATAATCCTGAATCTCTATCAAAGTGCATTTGGGACTTGATGCCAGGAGTTTCCTATTCTGGAAAGGCACACTGGAACAGCCAGGTCTTCAGGCTCTTCCTGATAACTGCCAATGTTGGGGCTTGTCTGATGTCCTTGGGGAGAGAGTTCCAGAGTCGGGGGGCCACCACAGAGAAGGCCCTGTCCCTCGACCCCACCAAACGCGCCTGCGACGCAGATGGGATTGTGAGCAGGGCCTCTCCAGATGATCGGAGGGAGCGTGCGGGTTCTAACTGGAGCGACTTGTTCATGTAGCAGGGCTCAGGATGCATTGCAGCAGATGGTCTGTAGTTTGCTCTTCTCCACACTCGCACGTCGTGGATTCCACTTTGTAGCCCCATTTCCTAAGGTTGGCTCTGCACCTCGTGGTGCCAGAGCGCAGTCTGTTCAGCGCCTTCCAAGTCGCCCAGTTTTCTGTGTGCCGAGCGGGGAGTCTCACCAAAGACCACCAGAAAACACAGTATTTTCTATTGGTCATGTGAGTTCTGTGTGAGAAGTTTGGCCCAATTCTATCATTAGTGGGGTTCAGAATGCTCTTTGATTGGAGGTGAACTATAAATCCCAGCAACAACAACCCCCAAGTGTCAAGTTCTATTTTCCCCAAACTCCACCAGTGTTCACATTTGGGCATATTGAGTATTTGTGCCAAGTTTGGTCCAGATCCATCATTGTTTGAGTCCACAATGCTCTCTGGATGTAGGTGAACTACAACTCCAAAACTCAAGGTCAATGCCCACCAAACCCTTTCAGTATTTTCTTTTGATCATGGGGGTTCTGTGTGCCAAGCTTAGTTCAATTCCATTGTTGATGCAGTTTAGAATGCTCTTTAATTGTAGGTGAACTATAAATTCCAGCAACTACAACTCCTAAATTATGAAATCCACACACACCCCAACCCCACCAGTATTGGGGTATTTGGGCGTATTGGGTTTTTGCGTCAAATTTGGTCCAGTGAATTAAAATACATACTGCATATCAGATATTTGCATTACAATTCATAACAGTAGCAAAATTACAGTTATGAAGTAGCAACAAAAATAATTTTATGGTTGGGGGTCACCACAACATGATGAATTGTATTCAGGGGTCGTGGCATTAGGAAGATTGAGAACCACTGATCTATGGCAAGCATCCTCAGAGGTAGTGAAGTCTATTGGAACTAGGAAAGTGGTTTGGTCATTCCACAGATATATAAACCCACTTTCTTAGTTCCAACAGACCTCACTACCTCTGAGGATGCTTGTCATAGATGCAGGCAAAACGTCAGGAGAAAATGCCTCTAGAACATGGCCATATAGCCCGAAAAAACCTACAACAACCCAAGAAGTATATTAATTTTTGTTCCGAGGCTGCTATCATTCAATGCACAGGATAATTCCAATGAATTGTTTCTCACCCAGTGATGCTTTCCGCAGGCCAGCTGTCTTTCAGAGAACCACCTTCTTTGCAAGTAGAGAGGATCCACTGAAAGTAATTCAACCTCCGGTGTCTTCTCAAGGGATGTCCATTCCAACTGTCCCTTCGCGTACGTATAAAATTTGCAGCTGGGTGTGAAATTCTCTTTTGCAAGTCTTGCAAATAAAAAGAAAGCCCTTAATATATTGTTTGTCATTATTGGATTCAACAGGTGGAGCAGACACAGCACCACCTCCTGGGATCCAGAGCATTTCCATGGGCTTTGAGCAGAGTACAATTCCTGCAACTATTGAGCCCATTTCTGCTGATTCCTTGGAGTGCCAGGACGACATGGCTTCTGCGAGCATTAAAAATAGTTCCGCACAGAAACGGGTTCATTCGCCTGCCGCAGGAGAGGCTCTGAAACGGCTGAAAGATACAGAGAAGGTAAAGCCCTCTCAGTACTCGAACTGCCAACCATACTTCAAAGAGATGGAGAAAATCTCACCTCTCTCTTTTTTTGGACTACAGAGCTATAGGGTTCTGCAAGTTATTGTCCAAATTGGTCATTTTATGTGGCAAGTGAAGTCAAACTGCATTCTTAGAGTGGAATGTACTTCTGAAGAAACATGAGAGAGCGGGTATGGGCAAACTTTGGCCCTCCAGGTGTTTTGGACTTCAACTCCCACAATTCCTCCCAGTCAATAGGCTATTATGAATTGTGGGAGTTTATTTATTTATTTAAAGCTTTTATAACCCGGTCTTCTCAACCTCCGAAGAGGGACTCAGGTCGGTTCACAACAAAAGATTCATAGACAATAATAAAAAAAACATCACAACTTCATAATACACTAATCCATAAAATACATTAAAATACAATCATATGATAAGGCCAGGTCGTCAGAATAAAATCACAATTCATCAATTCATCATCATCCGTCAGTGTGGTCAAGAGTTATTGACTCACTCATCAAATGCCATATTCCAAGGCCAGGATTTCACCAGCTTTCTAAAAGTCAGGAGAGAAGGGGCAGATCTAATCTCCAGTGGGAGAGAGTTCCAGAGCCGAGGGGCCACCACTGAGAAGGCCCTGTCCCTCGTCCCCACCAGACGCGATTGCGAGGGTGGTGGGACCGAGAGCAGGGCCTCTCCAGAATATCTTAACAACCTTGATAGTTCATAGGGGAGAATCCGTTCAGACAGGTAAACTGGGCCAGAGTCGTTTAGGTCAACACCAGCACTTTGAATTGTGCTCGGAAGCTAATTGGCAGCCAGTGGAGCTGGTGCAACAGAGGAGTAGTATGCTCCCTGTACCCCGCTCCTGTTAGTAGTCTGGCTGCCACTCGTTGGACTAACTGCAGCTTCCAGGCAGTCTTCAGAGGCAACCCCACGTAGAGAGCGTTGCAGTAGTCTATACGGGATGTAACCAGAGCGTGGACCACCGTGGCCAAGTTGAATAATAATAATAACAATAACAATACTTTATTTATATACCACCCTATCTCCCCAAGTGGACTCAGGGGAGATCATAGTACACATATGCGGCAAACATTCGATGTCGTTTAGACAGACAGGACAGAACAGACAGAAAGGAGGTATGTTGTGTTGACGTCCAGCTTTCGGAGCCTTTGGAGAGGTTGTGCTCAAATCCAGCCACAGGGGGGTGCTGTCACTCCATCCTCCTTCCTTTTGGTCAATGGTATTTTTCTGGTTTTTTTTTTATGGTGTTGTAAAAGTTGTTGTTATTTATGTACTGCATTTCTGTGCCGCCTTTCTCAGCCCGAAGGCAACTGGCACGATTCGATGCCACAGTGAACATAAACAAAATTAAAACTAAATTAAAAACAATTAACCCACATAATAAAAACCCTGTAAAAAGCATTAAAAGCATAAAGCACCAGTAACGTCCTATTAGCTCATTTTTCAAAGACACTGTCAAGCCATTCCATGTTCATTCTTTCCAAAAATACCTTCCTCCCTTTTTAGCAATACCTAATTTCTCTACTTACAGCTCTAAGCTGTTTTCGTACTGCTTAGGTAAACAGTGAGCTGGGCTGACAGTTGGGTGCTCACCCCAACCCAGCCTGGCAACCTTTCGGTTGCTAGATCTTATTTACTACTGGTGGTGATTTACCAGCTGTGCTATAGCCCAGCCTTAACCACCTGGAGGGCCAAAGTTTGCCCATGCCTGTGCTAGAGACTTTTGCAACAATGATTACAGCAGCCAGTGTCCAGTGTAAATATACTTCTATCTGTCCTCCTGGGAAAGCTTGTAGTAGTTAATGTATTGCTGATTCCTTCAGAAATGCTTCGTTTGCATAATATAATTATAACACTGAGGAAACGTACAGGATCCAGCATCAGCTAAGCTCAAATCCCAAAATACCTTGTTTGTTTCACTTGTGCTGAATTGCTAACTAGTGTCTTGTATTGTGTGTTCTTCTTTCAGCAAAGCCTTGGAAAAACTATGCCTGTTCAAACAATTGGTACACTAAGATCACAGGTATTACATGATCCTATGCCTTTAAATAACAAAAGCAAAATAGATACAATGAGTTGCTGTGAGTTTTCCGGGCAGTATAGCCATGTTCCAGAAGCATTCTCTCCTAAGTTTTCGCCCACATCTGTGGCAGGTATCCTCAGAGGTTGTGAGGTCTGTTGGAAACGAGGCAAATTGAGGTTTATATATGTGTAAAATGTCCAGGGTGGGAGATGAACTGTGAATGTTGCAATTGGCCACCTTGATCAGCATTGAATGGCCTTGCAGCTTCAAAGCCTGGCTGCTTCCTGCTTGGGAAAATCCTTTGTTGGGAGGTGTTACCTGGCCCTGATTGTTTCCTGTCTGGAATTCCCCTGTTTTCTGAGTGTTGTTCTTTATTTACTGTTTGAAGGATCTCTGCAGGACTATTAATACTATTAATAACAGTGCCTCTTGGAGAGCTCTCCTTCTGACACTCACCATAGATCAAAGCTCATTACAAACACCAGAAGTCCAAAATAATACCTAGTTCTGGACTGCAGAATAGGTTCGCAGTTGATCTGATCTTGCTCTAGTTTTACCCTGTTTCTTGGATGCTTGGTTGAAGAATTTTGAATTCTGTTTCGATTTGCAGCCGCTTCCTTTGACTTCTCTTTTCATTTTGCAGCGGCTTCCTAGTAAAGAACTCCCGGATTCATCTTCACCGGTTCCAGCAAGTAGCATTCGCGTTGTGAAAAACTCCATCCGATTGACTCTTAACAGATAGCAGTCCTTCTTCGGGAAAAGGTAAATTTTACCTTTTTATGTTTTATGTTACATTTTGCATTCTTTTCTAGGAAAATACATCAATACCTATAATTATGATAAAGGAATATGAAATACAAGCTACGGCTGTCCTAAAAACGTATCAAAGAGTGGCACTTAAACCCTTCAATGTTTACAAACTAGATATGATAAGAACCAAATACAAAGAGTCTCCCCTATTATAGAAACACATGTTGCGTACCCACATGCGTGTATACCCTTCTTTAACATAATCCCAACTCAGAGATATACCTTCAGCTAACAAAGGAAAATGTTGCTTAAGTGATTCTGGCTGGCATCCTGTTAGGAAGTCAGAAACCAATTTGGGATTGTGTAAAGTTGAATATATAATAATAATAATAATAATAATAATAATAATAATAATAATAATAAATAGAGTAAAATAATCAATGTAATAATATAAATAATAAATAGAGTAAAATAATAATTGTAATGAAAATAATACTAATAATAGAGTAAAATAATAACTTTGATTTAAGTATGAGCCGACTGAAAGTGATACCGGCTGGCATCCTGTTGGGAAGGCAGAAACCAACTTGGGATTGTGTAAAGTTGAATATAGAACGAGTGCTTTGTTCAATATCTATGGTTTTACTTCGTCAGATTCCAATATCAGACCCCAAAATGTTTGTGGGCCTCTCTAGATCCTTCAGTACTATTCTATGGTATGCTTCCGGCCCCAAAATAGTCAAAATATGGGTTTTTCTATTATTAGTGGTGTTTAATTGAAAATGTTTAAATACTGTTTATATTTTATCCTGTTTTGATGTTTGCATATTTGTATATTTAAATTGTATGCTGATGTTTTTATGTTAAGCCACTTTGAGGCTCATTTGGGAGAGATAAAGCGGGGTAATAATAATAATAATAATAATAATAATAATAATAATAATAATAATAATAATAAGGCCGAACTGGGCATAGGGTTACAGCCTGTGTTAGACGGGGTTACACTCCCCCTGAAGACACAGGTTCGCAGCTTGGGTGTGATCCTGGATTCATCGCTGAGCCTGGAACCTCAGGTCTCGGCGGTGACCAGGGGAGCATTTGCACAGTTAAAACTTGTGCGCCAGCTGCGCCCGTACCTTGGGAAGTCTGACTTGGCCACGGTAGTCCACGCTCTAGTTACATCCTGTATAGACTACTGCAATGCTCTCTATGTGGGGTTGCCTTTGAAGACGGTCCGGAAGCTTCAACTAGTCCAACAAACGGCAGCTAGGTTGTTAACAGGAGTGGCTTTGATGCAGAACAATCTGCTACAAAGAACAATGCAATCTGCCAATCTGCTACTGAGCACAATTCAAAGTTCTGGCTTTAGCCTATAAAGCCCTAAATGGTTCTGGCCCAGCTTATCGGTCTGAACATATCTCCCTCTGTAAACCACCATGGAGTTTAAGATCATCTGGGGAGGCCCTGCTCTTGGTCCCGCCTCCCTTGCAGGCACGATTGGCAGAGACAAGAGACAGGGCCTTCTCAGTGGTGGCCTCTCAGCTGTGGAACTCTCTTCCCAGGGATATTAGATCAACCCTCTCCCTCCTAACCCGCCACAGGAGGCTTATGGATCCGAATGGATTCCTGACGGCTCTTGGGGATTTTCCCGCCACCTCGGTAGGTGACCATGTCGAGGCCTTGGTCGCTCTCTGGAATGGGGAGATGACCAGGGCAATTGACATGATCGCTCCGGAGCGTCCCCTCTCAAGTAGCCGAGCTAAACCAGCTCCTTGGTTCACCGAGGAGCTGGCAGTGATGAAGCGAAGGAAGAGGGAACTAGAGAGCGTGTGGCGTTCGGACCCAAGCGAGTCAAACCGAGCACGGTTTGTGTCCTTTCTTAGGGCATATGCCGCGGCAATAAAGGCCGCAAAGAAAGCTTTCTTTGCGGCCACTATTGCGTCTGCAAAGAACCGTCCGGCGGAGTTGTTCCGGATTGTTAGAGGTCTTTTGACTCCCGCCAGTTCTGGCGGGAGCCCTGACAATTCGGTCACGCGCTGTGAAGCATTTGCTCGGTTCTTCGCAGACAAAGTCGCTTCGATCCGTTCTGGGCTGGACACCGCGTTGAATGCAGTCTCAGTGGATGTAACAAGAGCACCTGCTTGTCCTATTTTGATGGATTCTTTTCAGTTTGTGAAACCCGAGGATGTGGACAAGATACTTGGAGGAATGAGGCCCACCACGTCCATCCTAGACCCCTGCCCATCCTGGCTTCTGAGGGAGGCCAGAGGGGGATTGGCTGAGTGGGTAACGGTGGTGGTTAATGCCTCCCTCAGGGAAGGCAAGATTCCAGCGTGCTTAAAACAAGCAGTGATAAAACCGCTGTTGAAGAAACCATCATTGGACCCCACTAAATTTGAGAACTTTCGGCCGGTTTCCAATCTCCCCTTTTTGGGCAAAGTCATGGAAAGCGTGGTGGCCTCACAACTCCAGGTATTCTTGAGAGACACGGATATTCTGGATCCGGCACAGTCTGGTTTCAGACCGGGACATGGTACCGAGACGGTCTTGGTCGCCTTAGTGGATGATCTGCGCCGGGAGCTAGACAGGGGGAGTGTGTCCCTGTTGGTGCTCCTGGACCTCTCAGCGGCCTTCGATACCGTCGACCACGGTATCCTTCTGGGGCGCCTTGCGGAGATGGGTCTTGGGGGCACTGCTTTGCAGTGGCTCCAGTCATTTCTGGAGGGCCGCACCCAGAAGGTGTTATTGGGGGACTCCTGTTCAACACCACAGCCTTTGACTTGTGGGGTTCCACAGGGTTCCTATACTGTCCCCCATGCTGTTTAATATCTACATGAAGCCGCTGGGTGAGATCATCCGGAGTTTCGGGGTGCGGTGTCATCTGTACGCAGATGATGTCCAACTCTGTCACTCCTTCCACCTGCTACTAAGGAGGCTGTCGAGGTCCTGAACCGGTGCCTGGCCGCTGTAATGGTCTGGATGAGGGCAGAACAAATTGAAATTAAATCCAGACAAGACAGAGGTACTCCTGGTCAGTCGCAAGGCCGAACAGGGTATAGGGTTACAGCCTGTGCTGGATGGGGGTCGCACTCCCCTTGAAGGCGCAGGTTCGCAGCTTGGGTGTGATCCTGGATTCATCGTTGAGCCTGGATCCCCAGGTTTCAGCGGTGACCAGGGGAGCATTTGCACAGCTTCGGCTCGTGCGCCAGCTGCGCCCGTATCTCGGGAAGTCTGACTTGGCCACGGTGGTACACGCTCTGGTCACATCCCGGCTTGACTACTGCAACGCTCTCTACGTGGGGCTGCCCTTGAAGACGGCCCGGAAGCTGCAGCTGGTTCAGCGTGCGGCAGCTATGCTACTAACTGGAGCGGGATACAGGGAGCACACAACGCCCTTGTTGTCCCAGCTCCACTGGCTGCCGATTTGCTACCGGGCCCAATTTAAGGTGCTGGTGTTGGCCTACAAAGCCCTAAACGGCTCCGGCCCAAAATACCTTTCAGACCGCATCTTGGCCTACGAGCCCACGAGGTCCTTGAGATCGTCTGGGGAGGCCCTTCTCTCGATCCCGCCGGCCTCACAGGCTCGCCTGGCGGGGACGAGAGAGAGGGCCTTCTCAGTGGTGGCCCCCCGGCTGTGGAACACTCTCCCTGTGGAGATCAGGCAGGCGCCCTCCCTCATGGCCTTTAGGAAAAATCTCAAAACTTGGCTGTTCGAGAGAGCATTTAATTAAGCGCTTAACAATGTGGTAAAGATGACTGGAATGGAACGAGGAATACGAGATTGGATACGATTTTAATTATGAGACGAAGCGGATTAGTCAGTGTAAAATTTTAATTGTGTATTGCGGTTTTTGTTGATGTTGCTTGTAATTTGTCTTTTGTAAATTTGCCTTTTTGTAGTGTACACCGCCGTGAGTCGCCCGCAAGGGCTGAGAAGGGCGGTTAATAAATGCATAAAATAAATAAATAAATAAATAAATAAATAAAGAACTTGGCCTGCACTTAAACACAATCGGCGCTGACAAAATGACCACCTGTCAGCTGCAAAAGACCACCCTACTGGGATCTGCGTGCATTATTTGCCAATACATCACACAGTCCTAGACACTTGGGAAGTGTCCAACGTGTGATCCGATACAACAAGCCAGCAGAGTGACCTTGTTTGCTGTGTACTAATCTTGTTGTGTTTCAAATAATAATAATTTTACTGTAGTGCCATTGTGCAATTGAACATCTCATACTATTCCCCTTTGTGTAGCACCACAGTTTATTAACATAATAATAATAATAATAATAATAATAATAATAATTATTATTATTATTATTATTATTATTATTATTATTATTATGATTTATATTCCGGCCTTCTCCCTGAGGAGACTCAGAGCGGATTACAGCATATAAATAGACACAGGAAAGCATTCAGTGCCTTGTTAAAATGGCATACAATGAGACACAAATACACAGACAAAGGCAAAGGCTTCTCCTTTCATTCCTGGCTCTGGAGGCCATGTTTAAATAATAATAATAATAAACTTTATTTATACCCCACCACCATTTCCTCGAAGGGGACTCGGGGCAGCTAACATGAGGTCAAGCTCAAAGATAAAATATTTATTTATTATTTATTTATTTCGTGTACTTCTACCCCCGAGGGGGGACTCAGGGCGGCTTACAAAAAGGCACAATTCAATGCCTGCACAATAATACAAATAAACGTGTAAAACACCAATTAAAACAATTAAGACAGTTAAAACAATCAATATATATCACAGTCAATAAACCAATCTCAAGCTCAGCGTTCGCCAACTCAGAGTCCATATTTCGTTCTACATTATCTATTCTTATCGGTCGTCATAGTCCTTTATTCATCTGCCAGATTGCCCAAACGCCTGGTCCCAAATCCATGTTTTTAATTTCCTTCTAAAGGAAAGGAGGGATGTCGCTGATCTAATTTCCCCGGGGAGTGAATTCCACAGGTGAGGGGCCACCACCGAGAAGGCCCTGCTCCTCGTCCCCACCAATCTCACTTGTGATAGAGGCGGGGCCGAGAGCAGGGCCTCCCCAGAAGATCTTAAACTCCAAGGCGGGACGTAGAGGGAGATCCGTTCGGACAGGTACAGCAAAATAAAGTGCAGAATACAACAACAAAAATTACATCACAATAAAGTGGCAAAATAAAATAAACAAAGCAAAATAGAATAATAGAAAATTGGGGAAAAAAAGAAAGACAAACACAATGTTTTCCATCAGTTCTGGAGAGGTATTCTTTCTCCATTTCCAAGATGGAGAAGGGGTACAAAAATAAAATTGTTATTATCATTATTATTATTATCTTATCCACTATTTTTTATCCATATGCAACCGTAATCCGTAAATTCATCCACTAAAGCACATGTGATTGGTATTTAAAATAGCTGTTTATGCTTATTTGCATTTGCCACAGTATGGAAAGGTAGTTCCACCAGTACAGCATTGGTCTAAATCAGGCATAGGCACACTTTGTCCCTCCAGGCTGTTAGGAATTGTGGAAGTTGTAGTCCAAAACACCTGGAGGGCCGAAGTCTGTCCATGCCTAGTCTTGCATGGATTATGGTTTGACACAGCTCTTTGCGCCCATCTCTATTTGGAGTGGCTTCACCTCTCTAAACCTTTCTCTGCAGGTACTGCACAGACTTGAGCTGCCATTGAATGTTTCAAGCTTCCATTTCTAAAACCCGTGGCCTGTGGGCAAACTTCTAATGCATTCCCTGGGACGACTACCTTTATTTCCACTCTGCAGATGCATAGATTTATTTTAAGACTTGGGTTTGAATTATTTTGTGTTGGGTGGGAATTAATTTTTTTGTTATTTTGTTATAGAAAAACCAAAAAAAAATTATGAAAACTTGGGTTTGAATTTTTTTGTTTTGTTTTGGGGTGGGAAATTTTTTTGTTATGAAAAATATATATAAAAAAATATTATGTATTATGGCCAGAATCACTGGGTTGTTGTGAGTTTTCCAGGCTGTATGGCCATGTTCCAGAAGCACTCTCTCCTGACGTTTTACCTCCATCTATGGTAGGCATCCTCTGAGGTAGTGAGGTCTGTTGGAAACTAGGAAAATTGGATTTCTATCTAAACCCCATTTTTCTAGTTTCCAACAGACCTCACAACTTTGAGGATGCTGCCATAGATGCAGGCGAAACGTCAGGAGAGAATGCTTCCGGAACATGGCCACACAGCCCGGAAAACTCACAACAATCCAAAATATCATGTGCTTCTATATATACTTTCCCTTAAAAGAGGCTGCATACAGACTGCTTAGCCCTGGTATAATTCAGTGGAGTTATAACAGTGCAAGGAATCTGAACTACTCTCTTTAAGTATATTCATAATGCAGTTGTTTATAATCAGGAAATCAAGACCCAATGCTAATGATGTGGAAGAGCCAACTTTTCTGCTGAGCTGATTGATAGGTAATTCTTGTGCCTGGTAATATATACAGGATTATATGGCCCACATCCTATTTGGCTAAGTGTACTTTGGTTATGAAGGAATGCCAGCTTTGATAGTAGGCATGGGCAAACTTTGGCCCTCCAGGTGTTTTGGACTTCAACTCCCACAATTCCTAACAGCCTACCGGTTGTTAGGAATTGTGGGAGTTGAAGTCCAAAACACCTGGAGGGCCAAAGTTTGCCAATAGTGAGCAAAAAAATAAATAAATACATATGCGTTTCTAGGTCACCTTTACACCAGCATATATTGCTACTCAGTCTGTGTTTGTGGCCAGAGCTGCTTCTCTTTTGCAGTCCACAATCCCAATATTACAAAATATTGCACCTTATATCAATGCACTGTGTAAATATCAAATTTAAAAGAAAAACCGCCTCCCATGGAGGGTCACAAAATTCAAAAGCCTAGGACTCAATTGAGCCATAGTTTAAGCACATTGAAGCGCGCAAGAATAAGAATTAATTGCAACTTTTTTTTCCCCCTTCACCCAGCCACCCTTTCCAAATTATGAGAGTTCGATGTGCTTAAATTTTTGCTAAATTGCACTCTGGCTACTTCATCACACTAGAGAATGAATCCACTTGAAATCCGGTGTCTGCCACTTGCAGAATTTTGGGGTTTGTAGTTCAGCGAGGCTGTTAAACGACGAACCCCAGAATTCTGCAAGTGGCAGAACCCGGATTTCAAGTGGATTCATTCTCTAGTGGGATGAAGTATCAGGTTTATTATAAAAAAGTAAGAACCTGGTCTTAAATCTGCCACAATAATGAGATGTCAAGTATGAATGGGAATTGTGTGCTTCCCAGACTGCAAGTCTTACAAGTCCTTTCCATTGACTGTGGCTGCTGGTATGTGTAGTTCAACAACATTTGGATGACCACATGATTCCCACCCATATTAAAGACTTTGTTGTAGGGACTTAACTCACAATCTAAAGCAGGTATGGGCAAATTTGGTCCCTCCAGGTGTTTTGGACTTCAACTCCCACAATTCCTAACAGCCTCAGGCCCTTTCCTTTCCCCCCTCAGCCGCTTAGGCCGAGGGGGAAAAGGAAAGGGCCTGGGGCTGTTAGGAATTGTGGGAGTTGAAGTCCAAAACACCTGGAGGGACCAAATTTGCCAATTCCTGATAAAAAAAAATACTTGTTTGAACTGTTGAAAAGTGATCAAAACTTTTTCCTATATCCTGTCCTGAAGGCATAACATCTCTTAGCCTACTTTGCTGTTTTACTACTTTCCTTGTCTTAATTGTGGTGAAAAAAACAGAGTGGTTTTGGGTGTTTTTTTAAAAACAACGTTCTGTTCCGAAAAACATAATTAAAAATTATATGATCCAATTTAAGATCAGTCAGCTCTACCAAAAAAAAAATAGGCATCCCCCCCAAAAAAAACTGTCCGTGTCTCCTGCAAAAAGAAAATGTAGTTTATGTGTCTTAAGTCTTGTCTTGTTTTTGTATTTATAAAAAGAGAATATATATAGATATTCAGAGTATTTTTGTATGTACTGTATAATCATCTTTTTCAAAGAAAAATCTAAAAAATGTTTCTGTCTCCTTATTTATTGATAGTGCATTGACACCTTTATTGATGACTTGGGTGAAGGTTTAGAGCAGTGGTTCTCAACCTGGGGTCCCCAGATGTTTTTGGCCTTCAACTCCCAGAAACCCTAACAGCTGGTAAGCTGGCTGGTATTTCTGGGAGTTGTAGGCCAAAAACATCTGGGGACCCCAGGTTGAGAACCACTGGTTTAGAGGGTATGCTCATCAGGTTTGCAGATGAGACCAAATTAGGAGAGAGAACTAATACTCCAGAGGACAGGATCGGAAGTCAAAATGACTTCAACGGGTTAGAGAGTTATATAGTTGGGTTGTTTAAAGAGATTTCTTCTACCACTTGTATAAGACGCCTGCGTATTTTCAGCCTGTACACAAGCACATACTAAACTGTGGTACTAGTAGTGCAGGCACGGGCAAACTCTCTAACTTGGGGGCCGCATGCTAGCACTCCCTGTTGGGAGGACTGGCTGCCCAATGATGTATGGAAGGAGGAAAGGAAAGGAGGAGGAAAGAAAGAGAGAAGGAAGGAAGGGAGGACGAAAGGGAGGAATGTAAGGATGGAAGGGGAAAGAGGGAGGGAAGAGGGAAGGCAGGAAAGATAAAAAGGAAGGACGAAAGGGTGGAAAGAAGTGAAGGAAGGATAAAGGAAAGAGAGAAGGAAATAAAGATAAAAGGGAAGGAAGGAGAGGGAGAGGAAAGGAGGAAGGAAAGACAAAAGGGAAGGAAGAGTGGAAGGAAGGTAGGGAAGGGAATAAGAAAGGAAAAAGAAAGGAAGGGATGAAGAGAAGAATGGAAGGGAAGGAGAAAAGAAAAAAGGAAAGGGATGAAGAGAAAGAAGGGAAGGAAGGATAAAGGAAAGAGGAGGAAAGAAAGACAAAAGGGAAGGAAGGAAGAGGAGAGAGGGAGGAAAGAGGGAAGGAAGAATGGAAGGAGAATGAGGGATGGAAGGGAGGGAGGAAAGAGAAGGAGGGAAGGATGAAAGGGTGGAAGCGAAGGAGGATGGAAAGAGAGAAGGAATGAAGGATAGGATGGTGAGAGGGAGGAGGGGCTGAGAAAAGAGCCCAAGGGACAGCATTTGGCCCCTGGGCCTGGGTTTATCCATACCTGGGTTTGAGAGTTGCGTCAGAACTAACCAAGGACCCTTCTAAACAGGCCCTATATCCCAGGATTTGATCCCAGATTATCTGTTTATCCCAGATTATCTGGCAGTGCAGACTCATATAATCCAGTTTAAAGCAGAAAGCCTGGGATCACTTCCTGGGATATAGGGCCTGTCTGGAAAGGCCCTTTGTGAATTTCAACAAGGACAAATGTAAGATACTACACTTGGGCAGAAAAAAATGAAAGGTAAACATACAGAATAGCTGATGCCTGGCTCAACAACAGTACATGTGAAAAAGATCTTGGAGTCTTTGTGGACAATAAGTTGAACATGAGCCAACAGTATGGTGCAGCAGCTTTAAAAACCAATGGGATTGTGGACTGCGTCAAAAGGAGTGTAGTGTCTAGATCGAGGGAAGTCATGGTGCTGCTCTATTCTGCTTTGGTTAGACCTCACCTGAGATGCTGTGTCCAATTCTGGGCATCACAGTCCAAAAGAAATATTAACAAGCAGGAAGGGAGTCCAGAGAAGGGTGAAGAAAATAATCAAAGGTTTGGAGATAATGTCCTTTGATGAGTGTCTTAAAGAACTGGGGATGTTTAGCCTGCAGAAGAGAAGGTTGAGAGGAGACATGATGTGATGTGAAAGGTTGTCATAAGAAAGAGGGAGCAAGTTTGCTTTCTGCTGCCCTGGAGACTAGGACCCGGAGAAATGGGTTCAAATGACAGGAAAGGAGATTTCAATTGAACATTAGAAAGAACTTCCTGAGCTGTTCAGCAGTGGAACTCTCTGCCTCTGAGTGTGGTGGAAACTCCTCCTTTGGTGGCTTTTAAACAAAGGCTGGATGGCCACCTGTCAGGAATATTTTGATTGTGCGTTTTGTGCATGGCAGCGGGTTGGACTAGATGTCCCATGTGGTCTCTCCCAACTCTATTCTATGATTCTATTGGGAGTTTCTTTACTTTAGTGAAGAGGATTTTCACTAAAGTAAAGACATTTCCAATTGCCATAAATTGGAAATGACATGAAGTCACACACCATAATCAGCAAACAATGTTGCTCCATCTTTGGTCAGAGATTAGTAATTTGTCACTCAGTGCAGAAGGAAGGCTATCGGTTGAGGATGGGGCAACCAAGATTTCAGAGAAAGGTGCATTGTGACATGCTGTGTGGAGTGGTCGTGGCACGTTCACACTGTCAGTTGTGAGAGTTCTCCTGCAACATCCCTTGTTTCTTAATAACGGTCTTCCAGAAGGCAAACAGATTGAAATAAGGAATGTTCTTCATCCACAGCCAGTTTGTCCTCCTTCAGAAAATATACAGCCTCCAACACTTCCCATTTATCAGTCTTTAGTTAATAACCTAGAGGTTCTGATTGCTTACATTTTTCACTTCCATAGCTAATGACCAGGAAAAGCAAAGAAAATACAAACAATCCTAGATTTCCTGGCTATTATTCTGAGAATTTTAGCTAGCCATAAAATACACAGAAAGGCCAGAATTGGCAGTCCTACTCATGATCCGGAGCCCCGGTGGCACAGTGGGTTAAAGTGCTGAGCTGCTGAGCTTGTTGATCGAAAGGTCGCAGGTTCGATTCCGGGGAGCGGCGTGAGCTTCCGCTGTCAGCCCTAGCTTCTGCCAACCTAGCAGTTCGAAAACATGCAAATGTGAGTAG